GAAAGAAGGATTATTTTTTTTTAGTTTGACTGGTTTTAATTAAAAAAAAATATTTTGTGATCAATATTTTAAGCCCCACTAGGATTAAGTTATTCGCCCTCCTTTTAAATTTGTATTATTTTTCAAATATTTCTCAAATGATGTTTAACAGAGCAAGGACATTTTCACAGTAATTCCTATAATATTATTGTCATCTGAAGAAAGTCCTATTTCTTTAAGTTGAACTGTTTTTTAATTTTTTTTTAAATAATTTTGTAATCAATATTTTAAGCCCCGCTAGAATCAGGTTATTTGCCTGCCTGTGAATTATTTATTTATTCATTTTTTTTTTATATTTCCTGAATAATGTGTAACAGAGCAAGGACATTTTCACAGTAATTCCCAGAATATTTTTTTCAGCTTAAGAAAGTCTTATTCCTTTTAGTTTGTCATGTTTTTATTTTTTTTACAAATTATTTAGTGGTCAATATTATTAGCCCTTTGAAACAAAATTATAATGCAAATATTTTTCAATTGATATTTAACAAAGGGAATCTTTCACAATAATTCCTAAAATATTTTTGTCATCTGAAGAAAGTCTTATTTCTTTTAGTTTAACTGTTTTTAATAAAATAAAACAGTTTTAATCAATATTTTATCCCCCTGTGATCAAGTTATTTGCCTGCCTGTGAATTATTTGTTTATTTATTGAATATTTCCTGAATAATGTGTAATAAAGTAAGGAAATGTTTACAGTAATTTTTATAATATTTATTTCATCTGAAGAAAGTTTTAGTTTGGCTGTTTTTTTTTTGTTTTTAGTAATAATTTTGTGGTCAATATTTTAAGCCCCCTATGATCAAGTAATTTGCCCTTCTTTGAAATTTCCCAAGTAATGTTTTACAAAAGCAAGCACATTTTCACCATAATTCCTATAATATTTCGGGTTTTTTTATTTGGAAAAAGTATTATTTCTTTTAGTTTTATTGTTTTTTTTATTGTTTTATATAATTTTGTGGTCAATATTATTAGCTCCTTGAGAATTATTATTAGAATTATACACTCCGCTGTTGTCCAATAACTTGCCTAATTAAACTATTTAACCTAGTTAAGCCTTTAAATTATGCTTTAAGTTGAATGCTAGTGTATTGCAAGACAGACAGATAGACTGACAGACACACAGACAGACTGACCAACAGATAGATAAATAGATAGATTTCATTTTATTTAACTATAAAAAAGGCTTGTGTTTACAGATATTTTAAATAAATTAATTATTAGTAATAATTAATCTAGACAGTAAATAAAATATCCGCCCTGATAAACGTTCCTCCTCTGTGCAGCAGTTAGTTTCTCACAGGTCAGATATCTGAAGCCTCATGCATATGAATGGAAGTGAATGAAACAATGAGAGCCACCCGAAACACTCCATTTAACTCCGTTTACGCTCAGTTTGGTGTCAAAGACAGACTGATGACGGATGAGAAAACAGCAGCGCTTACTATAGAGTGCAGATTACAAAAGGAGAGACGGAGAGCGATCAATCACTGACACACACTCAATAACACTCCTCAATAATGGACAATACTAGAGAAACACACTGGAGACAATCTCTTTTCTCTGCTTTTTTTAGTACTTTTATTCATCATTAGAGGTTTTAATAGTTCTTGCAATAATTCTCAAAGCACGCACACAATCTAACTGATCATGGAAAACACAAACAGAAAAAAAAAATCTCAATTATAAGCCGAAGCTTCTCATAAATTGCTGAAACAAAAGCCGAACGAATCTTTAGAGTGAATGATTCTATGATTCAGTCATAACGACAGCCGCTTCTTCAGTTTCCGAATGAATCTTTTGAGTGAGTGATTCTATGATTCGGTCTTTAGGACATTGTAAATGGTTTGTTTAATTGAGTCATTAATTTATTGAGTCATAATGACAGGAGATTATTCAGTCATTGATTGAATTGTTTGGTTAAGTGATTCTTTTATTCAGTCATGATGACCAGAGATTCTTCTTCAGGTTCTGAATGAATCCTTGTTTTTGAATGAATCATTTGAGTGATTGTATGATTCAGTCATAAATACAGCAGTTTCTTCGGGTTCTGAATGAATCCTTGTTTTTGAAGGAATCATTTGAGTGATTCTTTGATTCAGTCATAAATACAGCAGTTTCTTCAGGTTCTGAATGAATCCTTGTTTTAAAATGAATCATTTGAGTGATTCTATGATTCAGTCATAAATACAGCAGTTTCTTCGGGTTCTGAATGAATCCTTGTTTTTGAAGGAATCATTTGAGTGATTCTTTGATTCAGTCATAAATACAGCAGTTTCTTCAGGTTCTGAATGAATCCTTGTTCTAAAATGAATCATTTGAGTGATTCTATGATTCAGTCATAAAGACAGCAGTTTCTTCAGGTTCTGAATGAATCCTTGTTTTTAAATGAGTCATTTGAGTGATTCTATGATTCAGTCATAAATACAGCAGATTCTTCGGGTTCTGAATGAATCCTTGTTTTTGAAGGAATCATTTGAGTGATTGTATGATTTAGTCATAAATACAGCAATTTCTTCGGGTTCTAAATGAATCTTTGTTTTAAAATGAATCATTTGAGTGATTCTATGATTCAGTCATAAATAAAGCAGTTTCTTCAGGCTTTGAATGAATCCTTGTTTTTAAATGAGTCATTTGAGTGATTCTATAATTAATGTTTGATTGAATTGTTTGATTCAGTGAGTCTTTTATTCAGCAGATAATGACTGGAGATTCTTCAGTTTTTTTAATGAATCGTTTGGGCGGCTGATTCTGTGATTCAATCATAATGACAGGAGATTCTTCAGTTTCTACATGAATCATTAGAGAGAGTGATTCTTTTATTCACTCATAGAATAGCCATGAGTTCTTGAGTTCATACGAAAGGCCTGTGTGATGTCTGGAAACTCTAAATCTCTGAACACAAAGCTGAGCTGATGTTAAACCGAGGACAGGAGTCGACAGGCCCGAGAGCCGAGAGTTTTACATTCCTCTGCTGAATGAAAGCTTTAATGCCGGAAAGAGTCAAGTCTTTTATTACAGCTCCGAGAACAGCTGTTTGAGTGTCTTTCATCACACACACACACATACACAGACAAGTGAACACTCGCTTTCTGCACACTTACGAGGGGCTTTCCCTGATTTAACACAGACAGCTGACATATTTATTCAGCTTTGTTTATCTGCCCCATCATGCTTTATCTGAATTATTAATGTAAGCTCTGTTAATCTGTAAACAATCAGGCAAGTGCACTGTGACAAAAATCTCCAGAATTTTTTTGTGCTTATTATTTATTCATGTTTGTGAATTGCATTATGGGATGTTGATCTCTGCTCCGTCCATTTTTGAAGTTGAAATTCCAGTGCAGCAGTTTAACAGTGACTTTTATTGACATTTTAATAGTTTGAAGCAATGTATTGTATAATAAATAATATAGAGAGAATCAAGCACATACGAAACAACAGTACTCACAGTTTACTACAAGGTTTATTTAGAATTATAATTTACAACACCAATACAGGCCGACGCGGTGGCGCAATAGGTAGTGCTGTTGCCTCACGCCCCTTTCACACAGGGCGTCAGCGTCATTGCTTCCCATTGACTTTGAATGGGTGACGTCAGGCTTTGCCGAACTGCATTGTGAATCCGTCGGCGCCGCTTCAGAGGAGTTGCTCGCTGCAGAAGTTGGGACTAGCTCAACTTTTCAAGCGCCGACAGAAGCGTCACCCAATCTGATCGCTGTATGCAAATACACCAGCTAGACAGTGGCCTATTGTTGACTGAATTTCATTGGCTGACGCTGCTATGACGATCGTGTCAGCCCCAACTTCAAACACGCCCTCAGTCAAGCATTGACGCTGAAGCCCCGTGTGAATGGGGCGTCACAGCATAAAGGTCGCTGGTTCGAGCTATAGTTGTTGTGTTACCATAGCAACTGTAGAGTCACCACAACAGATACTTGACTATAGTTGTTGTGTTACCATAGCAATTGTAAAATCACCACAACAGATCCATTACTGAAGCTCTTGTGTTACCATAGCAACTGTAGAGTCACCACAACAGATCCATGCATATAGTTGTTGTGGTACCATAGCAACTGTAGAATCACTACTACAAATCCATAACTATAGTTCTTGTTACCATAGCAACTGTGGAATCACCACAACAGATCCATTACCATAGTTCTTACTATAGTTATGTTTTGTGCCAGGCTATAGCAAAGTTGCTGTTTTCCACCTGCAGTCCCTGGACAGGTCTTTAAACACTCTGGGCCCTATCATACACCCGGCGCAGTGTGGCGCAAGACGTGGCGCAGTAGTCTTTTGGTAATTTCAGCTTGGCGCAAGAGTGGTTTTGAGGCGTTGCGCTACGCTGTTTAAATAGCAAATGCATTAGCGCTCTTATGTGCACTCATAGGCGTTCTGGTCTAAAAAGGAAGGTGTTCTGAGGCGGACCGCTGGCGCGTTGCTATTTTGAGAAACTATAATAGATTTTTCATTAGACCAAAACTAGACCGGTCTAAACTCCAGCGCAGAGTTGCACCTCGCTTACACACTGATTAATACACACAAGAGAGCAATAGGCAAATATCTTTACATATGAAAAAATGTAAATATTAAGGATATATATAGGATATAATAAGAATAGATATAGGATATAAATATAAAGGATTAAAATATTACAAAACATATTATTTTCTAGCCTACATAAATATGAAAAATCACTACTTTTGTCTTCTTCATCTCGGGAGGCTTTTTCAGTTCATTCATATCAATTTGCTTTTGTATAATGTTATCATTATTAGCAGTATTATTTATTATATCCATATTTATATTTGTTTATTAAAAACAAGCTTAGATTTGCCCACCTGTCAGGTTCTAGACCATATGGGGCACAGCATGTGTTTTAGGATATAACTCAGGTTTTTGACCACACTTGGTCATAATTGTTCATTTATTCGTTTGCTGGAAATTAGAACTGAATTTAGAAATAGTTTTAAAACAAATATTTGCGCTTAACAAACAAAATTATTTATTTATAGACTAATTGATGTCAGTGCGTAAAGGTTTCCCTATCCAAGAGTGAAAGTGAAAGTAGATCCATTATCTCTCATTCTCACGCAGTAGATGCTCTGTTTAACTGTTTTCTGTTAATAAACTGTGAACTGTTTGCTTGTGAAATGCTCATTTTTTCCACTTAGACTTATTTTGCGTCCTGTAAATAGCGAATGCGCTCTTGGCGTGACGCAGCTGGCTCTTAAAGGGAATGGGAGATGAGACTCTGATTGGTTTTTTCTCAAAACACACTTATAACTCATTAAGAAAATCAACTCAACCCTTTTAAACCATGCGCCACGGCGCAAAGCAGATTTTCCCGTCCGTAAATTAGCAAAAACGCGTCCTGACACGCCCTGAAAGCGCTTGCGCCCTGCGTTTTACGCTCTGCGCATGGACCGTCAAAATAAATCCCTCAGGCTTAATAATGTATTAACTATTTAATAAAAATAAAATGAAGACTACACACAGACGAAAAAGCAGACCACTGACAAACAAACAAACACAACATTTCATTAGGGTATACAGATTTGACTACATTGACTATAAAAGAGAACCTGTATCTGAAGTGAGCCATGAAGTTATTTTGACCAATAAACTTTTTCAGACACACATAACTGGAAGACAGCTTATGGGATGATAACTGCTGATTTGCTGCATGTGTGTGTGTGTGGTTCAAAGTAGTATTTACTATAAATGACTGAAGCATTTGTTCCTGTGTTCATTATTTTTTCCTTAAGGTACTGTAATGCAGACTGAATCTAGCAAACTTTTCTGCTGTGTCGCCCTCTATTGGCTGTTTTCAAACACTGCATATATAAAGTTGAAGTCAGAATTGTTAGCTCCCCTGAATTATTCGGCCCCTGTTTATTTTTTCCCCAATTTCTGTTTAACGGAAAGTTTTAACTGATTTATTTGATCTTTCCCATGATGACAGTACATAATATTAGACTAGATATTCTTCAAAACACTTCCATACAGCTTAAGGTGACATTTAGAGGCTTCACTAGGTTAATTAGGTTAGCTAGGCAGGTTAGGGTAATTAGGCAAGTTATTGTATAATGATGGTTTGTTCTGTAGACTATCGAAAAAATATATAGCTTAAAGGGGCTAATAATTTTGCCCTTAAAATAGTTTAAAAAAATGTAAAACTGCTTTTACTCTAGCCGAAATAAAGTAAATAAGACTTTCACCAGAAGAAAAAATATTGTCAGACATACTGTGAACATTTCCTTGCTCTGTTAAACATCATTTGGGAAATATAAAAAATAAATAAATAAATGTGGGGCTAATAATTCTGACGTCAGCTGTATATTGTTGGTTTGTGAAATGTTGGTGTGTTTTTAATGTGTGTGTTTTTCTGTTTGCAGCTCAGGATGATTTTGTGTCTTTTTATCAATCAGAGTTAGAGTTGAAGGAGATCCAGGCGGCGCCGCTGAAGGAAAGTAAGAAACTCTTGCAGATTTCCAGCAGTTTTCTGTGTTTTTTTCATCATCTTCAGCTGATTGTGTGCGTTTATGATCAGGATTTCTGACGGATTGTGACTTTGACCGCGGTGCTTGTGAATGGGTTCAGGATAACGCAGATGATCTGGACTGGACCATCAAATATCATCCAGACGGTACTGAAATGTATATTTATTGCAATAATTTTTATATTTAGTTACTTTAATGTTAATGTTAAAGTGTCAAAAACTGCAATAAAATAAAAAAATTAAGAAAATTATAATAAATGATTATACATAAACACAAATATATTGACTGTTAAATATTACTTCATATACTCTTGTTCTGTCATGTTTCTGTGTGTTTGTCTATAAACATATATTTATACATGTGTATATATAGCATGTATGTTCATGTTTATCATAGGCGTAATAATAAAATGACATGCAAGACGTAACGTTAAAATGTATATATTTACAAACTCTTATGTTTTATTAATTTATTAATTAAGAAGTAATATAAGCTAATATTAAACCATTGGTGTGTGTGTGTGTGTGTATGTGCATATAGATATTAATACAAATATAATAATTATATTTTTATATTTATTAAGGTTATTTCATATTTAGGTTCTTTAATTTTTCAATATTGTGAACAAAATATTATTTTGTTTGTATGTGTGTGTGTGTCTGTGTGTGTGCGCTCGCATGTATAAATATGAATAAAAATATATATAATTATATATATATATATATATATTGAAGTTACTTTTTTCGATTTGTTGCTATTACATGCTATTACAAACATATATTACAACAGTAATTTTCACGTTTTGCACTGCGTTGTTCAAATAGCAAATCCATTTGTGCCGCAAAAGAGCAGGTGTGTTAAGGCGCATTTTTGGCGTGTTGCTGTTTTGAGGAACTGAAATAGACCAACAGCGCCATTGACTCTGAGACTCTGATTGGTTTAATGCTGGTTATGCTCAAAAACAGCCAGAACTCATTAAGAGAATAAGTTCATACCTGTCAGACCAAGCGCTGGGACGCAGAGCACATTCTTCTGTCCTTAAAATGGCAAAAGTGGATTAATGCTTTTGCACCCTAAGTTTTAGACTCGTTAAAATAGAGCCTTCTGGTATTTTAATATTTAGATATTAAATAAAATAAAAATAAAATACTATTGTGTGTGTGTGTGTGTGAGTGTGAGTCAGAGAGAGATAGAGATATATATATATATATATATATATATATATATATATATATATATATATATTATAGAAGTAAATTTTTATATTAAGGTACTTTAATATTTTAAAATTTAAAATAAAATTGCAAGTGTGTCTGTGTGTGTGTGTGTGTGTACTTATACATGTACAAATACTGAATGTATGAATGTGTATATAAAATATGTGCATTTATATGGTTTCTTATGCATTCTTAAGATAAAGAATTTATTTAAATAATGTGTGTGTGTGTGTGTGTATATATATATATATTAGGGATGTAACGGTATCAGAATTTCACGGTACGGTAATACCTCGGTATGAATGTCACGGTACGGTATTTATTGAATCATTTACAGGAAAAAACAAAACTTATGAAAATACTCCAAAAAGTGCCAAAAGTGTCAATGACATACAAATTAGTCATCTATCTGTAAGCTTTGAAACAGAAACTTCAATTTTAATAACAAAAAAATATTAAACCATGTAAAAAAATAAAGTTTAAATTTAGTATTGTTGAAAACTCATCACATTCAACATTTAATCACTCACTCACTTAGATAGAGATGGGTTTAAAGGAAAATTATCATATAAATATAATCTGGTAAAAGCTGGTATCTCTGGGTATTTACAATGTCCCCTGCAACAGAAAAAACCCTCTCATTTGGGACTGAGGTTTCTGGGACAAGAGAGATATGACTTGGCCCAGGTTGACAGCAGTGGGTAACGTTGTGCATTGTCTTTCCCCCACTTGAGAGCACAAACCATGAGTGAGATAGAGGTCTCATGTCTGCATCAATCTGAACAGTGTGCTGTGTTTCTGCAGTCCCCATGACTGATTATTAGTCGTATTCCCCAACTTACAGGCACGTGCACACACAGTGCTCAACCTGTGCAGTGCACATGCCCTTTTTAGTCTTGGATAGAATGTTCCCTTCCAAAATGATCAAAAGTGCCCCCGCGACGCGACATACCCTCCGTCCCCGCTTTACAGTACGCGCGCGACAACACAGCTGATAAGAACTCGCGCGGCAACACAGCTGATAAGAACTCGCGCGAAAACACCACTATTCAGGACGCGCGCGGCGACAACACCCGCTTTAGAGTTTTACAGCTCTTTTTGATCCCCGCTTCTAGCAGCAAACTCCATTTCCGCATTACTGGATCTGTAGCGACAACAGACCGCAAGGGATTATGGCCAAGCCTGGGCTTATGGGAATTGTAGTTTTCGCTACCTCCCGTTCGCTTCATTCGCCTGAGCAAATTTTCTCAGAAGACCTATAGTTTTACCGAGTCATGCGACTACGGTAATATCGAAAAAAATTAATATTGCGGTATGACGGTATTTACAATACCGTTACATCCCTAATATATATATATATATATATATATATATATATATATATATATATATATATATATATAAATTTTAATTATTATTAATGTTAATCTTCAATAAGTATCATTTTTAATATAGAATTAATTTCTTTTTCGGGGTTGTTGCAACTGAAATTAGTGTGAAAATGGAGAAATGCAAATGCTGGATTAACTTTTCTGAATGGTTTTAGTAAAGTAAACCCAGTGTTTCCCCCTGATGTGTTCAGGGCGGGAGTATTACCTGGCTCTCGAGGGCCCCGTGGGGAACAGGCGTGAGCAGGCCCGCATGAAGCTCCTGCTGGAAGATCACATGCGGCAGAGCAGCTTCTGTCTGAGGTTTGATTTCCGCATTGAGGGTCCGCAGACGGGTGTTTTACGGGTGAAACTGGACAACAGCGCCATCTCCATCTGGGAGAGAAAACAGAGTCAGAAGCAGAGCTGGCAGAGCGAGCAGATCAGCATCAGCTGGACAGACAGTAATCCTGAAGCGGTGAGCAGAAATACAGCACATTATACACTCGAATAAAATACTTGTGGGTCAAACGTATAGATGAAGCTATCAGTTGGGTTACAGATATTCATTTAAAGCGGACTTATTATGATGCTTTTTACAATATGAGAAATATGTGTTTAGAGTGCGTGTAGTGAAGTTTGAGCTGAAAATAGCACACAGATAATGCTTTCCATCTCTCTGAAACTGACCCTTTTAGGCTTTGATCCTAATTGTGGTGTTTTGGTGACTTTCACTTTAAATTCAAATGAGATTCTCTTTTCAAAACAGGGCAGAGCTGTTATACAATTATTTCTACAGTGAAAATACACTCGAAAAATAGAGTGTTTTGTTGTTGTTGTTGTTGTTTTACCCCAATGTTGGGTCAGACATGGACAAACCCAATCAATAGGCAACAAAGCATTGTTCAGGGCCGTGTTTCAGAAAGGAGGTTAAGTGAAAACTCTGTATTTTAACACTGAAATGAGAGAAACTCTGGGTTTTCCATTTCACAATGGCAGGTTTGTTAAACTGGAGGAAGCAGGGTAAGTCAAGCCTGTTTCTAAAAGAGAGGTAACTATAACACAGAGGCTGTTTCTCAATTCCAAGAACGCAGAGACTGGACTTGTGTTCTTGTGGAGACCGATCTTGCCAGGTGTCCTCGGAGGAACGAACTCAGGAAACGGCAAGGGCAGAGAACGCGTCCTTTGAGATTTGAGATGCTGCGTTCTTCCTGATGGTCACATGACCTTCACGTGTTTTAAATGGTAAATTATTTAAACATTACAGCCTTCATACAATGATTTATGGTTTTCCCCCTTTTCAAAATATATACTCTGCACAATATAAATAAAACAGATTTTAATACGAATTTCAGCAAACAAACACCCTTAATGTGTTTATTCCTTTATTAAGATGTTAATGTTTATATTCACCGTTTCATTTAGGGAAACTCCTGAGGTAAATAAGTGATATCTCTGAACTTTAATAATAAATCTGAATAAAATGCTGCGCTTCCCACCTTCAGTCACAATGACTTCTGGGACTTCCAGAGCAAGTGCTCAAGTGCTCAAGTCTGCATCAGTGCGTCCTCGATATCAAGATCACATCCGGGAAGTTTCATGCAGCCTCCGTACTTGCGGTCTTGAGTATTGGAACTGAACTTAGGCAGCTGATGAAGACGTTGCACGAGAACACGAGGACGCAAGACCGCTGAAGAACGCATATTGAGAAACAGCCAGAGTCAGTTACTGTGGTGACTTACTCTGTGAACCTAACCTGGTCAGGAGCAGGTTTTATTCTCTAAACTTAGTTTCTGTTGGTCTCCTCCCCTTTTTTAAAGATGAAGCAGTATTTCTCGCCTTAGCCTTACGTTTCCACCCACATATTTTAATGCTCATTTTGGAGATGCGCATAAAAACGATTAATGAAAACTTCATGATGCTTTTGAAAATATGCATAAAAACATACGCATAACTGAGTAGGATCAACTTTTATTCAATAAGAAAAGATGCGCAAGTTAAATTAAACTATGCGCATTAAAAAAGGTGTGTATAAGATGATGAAAATGTGTGTGAATGGACAAACCAGCAGGCTGAGCACACTAGAGCGCATCTTAAATGTTGTTTTGCTCATTCATTCTAAAAATCCTTAACTGTTTCAGTATTAATGGCATTATATTATTAATGACCTCCAGAGCGTCTGGAGCGCTTCAAGAGCGTCTGTTCTCCGGGTCTCATGGCTTCAAACGCCCCCACGTGTTTATTGTGTGTCAGCACTGTGTTCTGAGACGCAAGTACATTTATTAAATATAGAAAAGTTTGACGCTACTGCAGTTTCTTCTACCGTGGTAAATTCTGCTTTTACTGTTGATATTTGGTGCCCATTCAATCAGGAAGTGATGATGTTGTTCTCTTACACTCATTGGATGGAAACGCTGCTTTATTCGCACATTTTTTATTCCAGTTTTGCACATAAATTTATATAATATTATTGGATGGAAACAGCTATTGTCTATATTTCAGTCACACAAAGAACAAAGTCTTGTACGAGAATGGCTTGTCCTTTTTACAGCATGGACAAGTAGCCTAGATTAATTAGGATTATTATTCTTTCTAAAAACTGTTGTTTAGTTCTGTTTACATTGTAAATGTCATATCAACCTCTATCACTTGATCAATAAAAAAGGCAGACACAAGTGCACTTTTAAATCTATTAAAACTGATCAACATGTATAAAAGTGGGAATGTGTGTAAAGATTTTATAAATGTCACACATTACATTACTTATGTTATTCAACTTAAATATTTAAATACTTTAAATGTAAAATTATGCATTTACTTAAGCAGCTGTTTTCCCATGCTTACTGTCTCTGCTTCCCTGATGCAGTTGTGTTGCTTTTCAAAATATATGCTCATATTTGCTATAACTATGCATGAGCAGATCAAGTTCAGCTGGAGAACGAAATGCTGATCTGAATTTTCATCTGATGAAATGCCTGCTGGTTTGTACATTCACACACATTTTCATTGCCATCTCTTATAACAAACCTTTTTTTTTTATACACATAACTTGGGCTACTGGAATTTGCTCAGTAAAAGTGTTTCCATCGCAGTTTATGCGCATCTTTTCTAATTGAATAAAAGTTTATCCTACTCAGTTATGCGTATGTTTTTATGCATATTTTCAAAAGTTATGTGCATCATGACGTTTCCATCAATCGTTTTTATGCACATCTAAAAAATGAACATTAAAATATGTGGGTGGAGACCTCAGGCTAAGGCGAGAAATACCATTTCGTCTTTAAAAAAGGGGAGGAGACCGACATAAACTCTGAGTTTGGAGAATAAAACCTGCTCCTGACCAGGTTAGGTTCACAGAGTAAGTCACCACAGTAACTGACTCTGGGCCCTATCATACACCCGGCGTAGTGTGGCGCAAGGCATGGCGCAGTAGTCTTTTGGTAGTTTCAGCTTGGCGCAAGAGTGGTTTTGAGGCGTTGCGCTACGCTGTTTAAATAGCAAATGCATTAGCGCTCTTATGTGTGCTCATAGGCGTTCTGGTCTAAAAAGGAAGGTGTTCTGAGGCGGACCGCTGGCGTGTTGCTATTTTGAGAAACTATAATAGATTTTTCATTAGACCAAAACTAACCCGGTCTAAACTCCAGCGCAGAGTTGCGCCTCGCTTACACACTGCTTAATACACACAAGAGAGCAATAGGCAAATATCTTTACATATGACAAAATGTAAATATTAAGGATATATATAGGATATAATAAGAATAGATATAGAATATAAATATAAAGGATTAAAATATTACAAAACATATTATTTTCTAGCCTACATAAATATGAAAAATCTCTGCTTTTATGTCTTCTTCATCTCGGGAGGCTTTTTCAGTTCATTCATAACAATTTGCTTTTGTATAATGTTATTATTATTAGCAGTATTATTTATTATATCCATATTTATATTTGTTTTATTAAAAACAAGCTTAGATTTGCCCGCCTGTCAGGTTCTAGACCATATGGGGCACAGCATGTGTGTTAGGATATAACTCAGGTTTTTGAGCACATTTTGTTATTATTATTCATTTAGTCGTTTGCTGGAAATTAGAACTGAATTTAGAAATAGTTTTGAAACAAATATTTGCGCTTAACAAACAAAATTAATTATTTATAGACTAATTGATGTCTGTGCGTAAAGGTTTCCCTATCCACGAGTGAAAGTGATCCATTATCTCTCATTCTCACGCAGTAGATGCTCTGTTTAACTGTTTTCTGTTAAAACACTGTGAACTGTTTGCTTGTGAAATGCTCATTTTTTCCACTTAGACTTACTTTGCGTCCTGTAAATAGCGAATGCGCTCTTGGCACGACGCAGCTGACTCTTAAAGGGAATGGGAGATGAGACTCTGATTGGTTTATTCTCAAAACACACCTATAACTCATTAAGAAAATAAACTCAACCCTTTTAGCCCATGCGCCTTTGTGCAAAGCGGATGTTCCCGTCCGTAAATTAGCAAAAATGCGTTCTGACACGCCCTGAAAGCGTTTGTGCCCTGCGTTTTGCGCTCTGCGCATGGACCATCAAAATAGAGCCCTCTGAGTTAAAGTTACCTCTCTTTCAGAAACAGGCTTGACTTACCCTGCTTTCTCCAGTTTGACAAACCTGCCATTTTGAAACGGAAAACCCAGAGTTTCTCTCATTTCAGGGTAAAATACTCTGAGGTTTCACTTAACCTCCTTTTTGAAACGGGGCCCTGGTCTCTTAGTATATAGGTTATTTTCACATGACGCCATTGATGACGTGCAAAACTCAGATAGAGGGCTCTATCTCTTCAACATAGGAATCGGAACATCCAAATTTTTCCTTTTTTTTGCTGGTTATAATTGTTTAAATCAGCTAAAATGAGAAATGCCGAACAGCTTTTATAGACTTCCAAAAGGGGGAAGTCACAAAGAGGGGAAAGTTCAAGAAACTGCCTGAAAAATGGAAGAAAAGGTGACATGTAATAAACATTTTTTTTCAATACATCCATATTTGAATAATTATTTTGACATTAATAATAAAGATTAAATACAGGCCTAGCTATGTGTATAAATATGTTGATATGTTATATATAAAAATCAGATACAAACACCAGCACACTTATACAAAATCCAGGAGAATATAAATGACGTATCCTGCCACGTAATCGCTGCAATCAAATCTCCATCTTGTTTTGCAATAATCCAGTGCTGCGTCCCAATTTGCATACTTATACTACGCCCTAAATGTATGTACTTTTTTGTGAAGGAAATATATATACTTTTGAGTGTGTAATAGAAGAGCAAACTTTTGAGCAACCATTTTACAGAACCAAAGCAAAGCTGTGGTGCGGAAGAAACCCGGATGTATAAAATCAGCACTGTAAACACTGCAGTAACATGCTGTGTACTACACACCTCCAGCTGCGATTTTTTTATGCAGAAATAGTGTAAACATCACTTTAATGTCATTCAATAAGTTTATTTTAAACAATTAAAAGCAATTTAGCATCAAAAAACATCACAATCTCAGTGATACGCTTAAGTGTCCTCCTAGGCTTCAGCTCATGGCACTAGTTAAACACTGTGAGGACGCTTTCCTGCTTCAGTCTATATAACCCGGTGAGTGATAAAACACTGCAGTCCTCTGCAGCACACCCTCGTGTTGTCTGTAGTAGTGTTGTCCTGGTACTGAAGTTTTAAACCCGGCTATTTCCCGGTAACATGGAAGCTCTGCTGAGCGCGGATGACTCGACTGATCTTCACGGCTTCGCACTCCAGTCTCCGTGTATCTGTGTTGGCACTCAGTTTTTCGCTCTTCACCCAGTGCAAACACAGATACATGGAGACTGGAGTGCGAAGCAGCCCTGAAGATCAGTCCAGTCATCAAGCGACAAGCGGATCACTCATCTGTGTTTGTGCTTGGTAGTTTGTGCTTGGTAGTTTCTGTTGAGCAAGTGAACACAATGGCAAATCAGCGCTGTTTTAAGTAAACAATCAACAGTGCCTTAAATTTTAACGGGAAATTGCAGTTTTTTCTTTTAATACAGTATCGTGACGAGTCTATTATAGTGAAAGAGTCAGTTTATTAACTCGAGATGTTTATTAACATCTAAAACATGTGTTTAGGAAAGAAAACGTTAGCTAACTAGTGCCATTTCCCCTTAGCTGAAACTGAGCTCTGATATCTCTTTTATTTTCACCATTCATTCAGAACCGACCTTCGGGTCACCCGGAAGGCGGAGAAATGATAAATTTATATCGCTTTCTCTTCGCTGATAAGATATACAGCCAGCTACACAACATTCCTATGTAACTCCCAATGATACTTCTAGGTTTCTTCCCACCGCAGCCTCGATTTCGCTTTTAAAAATGGCGGCCGTGTGAAATCAGTCTATTTCATGCAGAAAAATCTCCTCAGGTCTTAGAAGTTAATGTCGAAACACGTCTTTATATAAGTTCAGCATTGTTGTTGCAGAAATATAACACAGAAATCGCGATTTAAATATGTTCCAGTGGGCTACATAATGATTAACAGTCATACAAACATCTTTACCGAAGCCTCTCTACTTGACGGTTGGACTCAAGCGTCCATCATATTTGTAGTTTATTTACACTCGCATTTGTAGTTCTAATCAAATGTTACTCACACAATGTACTGTGGGCAATATCAGCAGTTAGAGTATGGACCAAGCGGCAACCTCCCGCTCTCTCTCAGGAAGCCAGTACGGTAGTAACTAAAACTGCAATTCATCCGAAATTCCGCTCCTGGCTCCAAAACAGAGCAAATTTCAATTGAGCCCAATGTTATAATGGCCAACTTTACAGCAGAAAAAAAGGTGTTTACAGCCTGGTACAAAAAAAGATTTTGGTTAATACAGCTAATATTACCCTTCATGACAACTGTGAGGGGGTGAATTTTTTTATAACTCATCCGTTTCCTTTATATTAAGTTATATTAAGTTTGCATAATTAAGGGCGTGGCCACTTGATTGACAGCTAGGTCTCGCTGGTCGCCGTCACGTCACCTCAGCTGAATCCTGCAGATTAGCCACTGAACTCGGCATATTTATCGTATTTCTGTGTTGTTTTATGTGGCTTTACACAGTCAACTGCCTTTTGGACTTGTTTCCTACAATTATTAGATGGCATGGCATGCTGAGGGCAGTTAATTGTGCTCACAAACCATTCACGTGGCCTCCGTTTCCCATGTGAGTAAAGTTATATACTTATACACCATCTCTATACATGTATTTGTTTTATTTAAGATCATTTATATTTATATTTAGAGCTGTAATGCACTTCAGAATCTGTCAGATTGATTAGCTGTAGGCTCTAGATCAGTCATCTGAAGCGTTGTCACACAGTGTTATGCTGGATTTCATCAATAGTCTTGCATTAACTAACACAGACTATATCTGAAGTGTTTGGATGTAATTCGCGTTTTCCTCCTGTTGAAAAACGTCATAAGAACAATGTTTAGAGGCTCAATGTATTACAGCAGTGTTTTTAAAAGTCTAAACACTTTATTGATATAGTGTACAACCAAGCACAAGTGGTCAGAATACAAACGAGTCGCAGGTGATGAAGTATTAAGCGTTTCTCCCAAAGTAAAAAGTGTGTCTGAACCAGGTCCAAGCAAAATGCCAGCAGGTGTTTGTAGCTCCGCTCACTCTCCGCCTCTTTGCCCTTGTTTGGTATCCCGCTGTCGGTGTGATGACGCTTGACCAAAATGGCGACGATTGGCCGCGTCCATATATTTTACAGTATATGGTATGGACGCTTCTACTCTTATCATTTTTACCAGAAATAGTAAATCATCTGGGAACCTTTGGCATACTCTTTTCAACATACTACCCTTGGGACATACTAATTCTATTTAGGATGCATAGTATGCAAATTGGGACACAGCACATGTGTTTAAAGTCCACGCTTTTTTACTTGCTGCTCTCCATCTGGATTTCGTGCATCACCAAAACCACGTGATTGCAAACAACCTATTGATTATTGTGTGTGTGTGTGTGTGTGTTTCCTCAGGTGGTCTTTGAGGCTGAGCGGGGACGCTCCGGCACTGGAGAAATCGCTCTGGATCATGTGCTGCTGATCTCTGGAGAATGTTCAGAAGATAAAACACTCGACTTCTAGGACGATTAGGATGTGTGTGTGAGATGTTATTAAGCATCTCAACAGAAACACATTTAGCTGCTGCTCAGCTTCATAAAACAGGCGCAGACCTGCAGGATAATAAGAAGAGTGATGGATGTAAGTCTTATTAATAACATGATTGTTTTCTGACAGGTGGATGTTGTTCATCATTTGTATGATTATATAAACACTGTAACATTATTATGGCTGTACATTTTGCTTAACATTAAAATGTTTTTAAGAGATCTCGAGGTCTGCTGAATGCTTGATTCTGATTGGCTGATGGTCACTTAAGGCAGGGGTGTCCAAACTTGGTCCTGGGGGCTGTTTCATAAAAGTGATTTAGAAAAGCGGGGATTAAAGTCTATAACCTGACTTCAATGAGCTGAACTAAACGTCTATGCCTAAATTGGTTCCACAACAGTTGAAGATCATTTGATCGAACTAATCTGAGATCAGTTTAAATAGTCTAGATAACTGCTGTTGTCAAACTCTGAAGGTCGAGCATAGATGCATATAGATTATGTTGTGTGCTACCATTTCAACGAGAACTGAAAGAGCTCTGAAATGAGGCGCAGCTATTCACAGCGAGTGAGAATCCACTTTTGCTATTTTAAGGACGAAAAAATCCGTTCAGCGCCAAATCACATGGTCCAGCAGGGTTGAGCTTATTCTTAGGTGTGTTTTGAGAATAAACCAATCAGAGTCTCATCTCCCATTCCCTTTCAGAGTCTGTTGCGTCGTGCCATGGTGCATTTGCTATTTACATTAATGCCCTTATAAGTGGAAAAACTGAAAACTTCACTAGTTAGCAAACAGTTAAACAGAGCATCTGCAGTGCGAGAATGAGAGATGAGAGCCTCTTCATTCTTTACTTTCACTTTCGCTCTCGCGGATAAGAAAACCCGTTGTACGCACTGACATCAATTAGTCTATACATAATTAATTTTGTTCATTAAGCGCAAACATTTGTTTCAAAACAATTTCCAAATTCAGTTCTAATTTCCAGCAAACAAATAAATAAACAATAATAACAAAGTGTGGTCAAAAAACCTGAGTTATAAACTAAAACACATGCTGTGCCCCATATGGTCTAAAACCTGACAGGTGGGCAAATCTAAGCTTATTTTTCATAAATTAAATATACATCTCATTCATTCCTTTTCGGCTTAGTCCCTTTATTAATCCGGGGTCGCCACAGCGGAATGAACCGCCAACTTATCCAGCAAGTTTTTACACAGCAGATGCCCTTCCAGCCGCAACCCATCTCTGGGAAATAAATATAAATCTGCAAATGATAAATAATGCTGCTAATAATGATAACATTATACCAAAGCAAATTGTTATTAATAAACTGAAAAAGCCTTTGAGATGAAGGCATGGAGGCAGTGGTGTTTAAATTTATGTAGGCTAGAAAATAATATGTTTTGTAATATTTTAATCCTTTAATTCTTTTTCATTTGTAAATTCTTTTCATTTCATTCTTTTTCATATACGTATTGCTGTACATCCTGTGTGTATTAAGCAGTGTGTAAGCGAGGCGCACAATTAACGCGCTCTGCGCTGGACTTTAGACCTTCTCTAAGCTGGTCTGTTGAACAGACTATTATAGTTCCTCAAAATAGCAACGCACCAGCAATGCGCCTTAACAGGTCTCCTTTTTTAGACCAGAACGCCTATGAGCGCAAATGCATTTGCTATTTAAACAGCGTGGCGGAAAACGTCAAACGACTCTTGCGCCGAGCTGAAACTAGCAAACAACAATAGTGTCGTGCCTTGTGCCTCATTGTGCCGGGTGTATGATAGGGCCCATTAAGTTTAAAACGCTTGGTATAAAGAGTGTAGGATTGTGAATGAGTGTTTATGGATGTTTCCCAGTGATGGGTTGCAGCTGGAAAGGCGTCCGCTGCATAAATCATATGCTATATAAGTTGACCGTTCATTACGATGTGTCAACTTCAGATTAATAAAGGAACTAAGCCAAATATATATATATATATATATATATATATATATATATATATATATATATATATATATATATATATATATATAGAGAGAGAGAGAGAGAGAGAGAGAGAGAGAGAGAGAGAGAGAGAGCGCTAAGAACACCCCTGAAAGATTTCTCTTTTAAATTAATATTTTCTTCAAGATGCTTTACAATAATATATTTGTGCATATACATTAGATTATTCAGTACCAATGCAAAGTTTGGAATATATATATATATATATATATATATATATATATATATATATATATATATATATATATATATATATATATATATATATATATATATATATTGTATTTTATTTTATTTTATTTATTTACTTTTTGCTATTAAGTGACAATAAATTTTTACTCTTTATTAAGAGGTTAAGTGAATTAAAATGGCATCAGATTAAGGCCGGTGAATGTTAACATTACTTTGATTAAGCTTGCCTTGAGCTAAGACTTAGCCTGAGAGTTAGCCTGCCCCGAACCAGGCTAGTTTCCCAGCATAAGTTGCCAGGGTGACTCAGTTTGAACTATCGTAAATTTGCCGAATCTGCCATTATTAAACCTGACTTACCAAAATTAGCCTGGCTTTTTCTGTAAGCTTGGTTTATGGACATCCCTGCTCTAAGGTGTTTGGTTATTGTCAGATAAACACACAGATAAAGTAGTTCCGGCAGTTTTACAGCACATATCACATCAAAACACAACAGAATGCTTTGGAGGAGATGTAGTGCTACACACAGGCGATGCTTGAGGAGGACAAAACTAAAAAAAAAAGTTTAAAAGCGTGTAAGAAGAAGGAAATATGTGTAAATAGTGTTAAATAAACTTTGCTTATAGTGTAAATAGACTTTGCTACATTCTTTTGCACCAAAACTGCAAAAATCAGTGCTCAATTTGCTGCATCTACAACAAACACGCAAGGTACACCACCAACACCACACACACTCACCTCTTTTTCTCAGCTCTCTGAGTCTGAGGTGTCCAAACTCGTGCTATCTAGCCATGCAACCCCCTGTCCACTCGATCCCATTCCCTCTCATCTCTTGCAAGCCATCTCTCCTGCAGTCATACCAACACTGACTCACATAATTAACACATCTCTTGACTCTGGTTTATTCCCCACTACATTTAAGCAGGCTAGGGTAACCCCACTGCTAAAGAAACCCAACCTGGACCATACGCTACTTGAAAACTACAGACCAGTATCCCTGCTTCCATTCATGGCCAAGATTCTGGAGAAAGTAGTGTTCAATCAAGTCCTGGACTTTCTTACTCAAAACAATCTCAAGGACAACAAGCAATCCGGCTTTAAGAAAGGCCACTCAACTGAGACTGCCCTGCTCTCGGTCATGGAGGATCTCAGACTGGCTAAAGCAGACTCTAAATCATCAGTCCTCATTTTGCTGGACATGTCAGCTGCTTTTGACACTGTCAACCACCAGATCCTGCTATCTACGCTTGAGTCACTGGGCGTTGCGGGCACTGTTATACAATGGTTCAGATCTTACCTCTCTGACAGGTCATTCAGGGTGTCTTGGAGGGGAGAGGTGTCCAACCTACAGCATCTAAACACTGGGGTACCACTGGGCTCTGTTCTTGGGCCACTTCTCTTCTCCATCTACACATCATCTCTAGGACCAGTCATCCAGAGACATGGATTCTCCTACCACTGCTATGCTGATGACACCCAGCTATACCTCTCTTTTCATCCTGATGATCCCTCGGTTCCAGCTCGTATCTCAGCCTGCCTGTTGGACATTTCACACTGGATGAGAGATCATCATCTTCAGCTTAACCTCGCTAAAACGGAAATGCTTGTAGTTTCTGCCAACCCGACTCTACACCATAACTTTTCAATTCAGATGGATGGGGCAACCATTACTGCATCCAAAATGGTGAAAAGCCTTGGAGTAACGATTGATGACCAACTAAACTTCTCTGACCACATTTCTAGAACTGCTCGATCGTGCAGATTTGCACTCTATAACATCAGAAAGATCCGACCCTTCTTATCTGAACATGCAGCTCAACTCCTTGTTCAAGCTCTTGTTCTCTCCAGACTGGACTATTGCAACTCTCTACTAGCCGGGCTTCCAGCTAACTCTATCAAGCCTCTTCAACTGCTCCAGAACGCAGCAGCACGAGTGGTCTTTAATGAACCTATAAGAGCACATGTCACTCCGCTGCTCATCCGTTTGCACTGGCTGCCAGTTGCTGCTCGCATCAAATTCAAAGCTCTGATGTTTGCTTACAAAGCCACTTCTGGCTTTGCTCCTTCATATCTGCTCTCACTTCTGCAGATTTATGTGCCCTCCAGAAACTTGCGTTCTGTGAATGAACGTCGCCTCGTGGTTCCATCCCAAAGAGGGAAGAAATCCCTTTCCCGAACTCTCGCATTCAATCTGCCCAGTTGGTGGAATGAACTCCCTAACTGCATCAGAACAGCAGAGTCACTCGCTACTTTCAAGAAACGACTAAAAATTCAACTATTTAGTCTCCACTTCACTTCCTAATCTGCAATTGCCTCTCTGAATATCACACTAACTGTACCCAAAAAAAAAAAAATACTAATACTACTAATACTTCCCTTCTTAGACTTTACAGACCTGAAACTCGTCTATAGCACTTATTCATTGTTGCTCTTATAGTTGTGTAAATTGCTTCCTTGTCCTCATTTGTAAGTCGCTTTGGATAAAAGCGTCTGCTAAATGACTAAATGTAAATGTAAAATGTAAATGTAAATACACACTAAGATGTGATAAGAAAACATGCTTGCATTTTCGTATAAGTTATATATGTAGTGTCAGTTACATGTTTATGTGTCAAACTACTCTTAAGTCTCCTTAAACTACTCTTAATTTTTGGCACATTGACTGGTGGTTATATGACTGATATTTATATCAATATCAATAGTCTGCTATACAGTGTTGTATGGAGTCAGAATAGACTCAATAATAATACACGCAAAAGACACGGTGCACATGCGTAGCCAAATTTTTAAAACAAAACGTGATGGTGTCATTAGAAACTGAATGAAACTGAAAAAAAAAGATCCTCACCTGAGTAAATATCTTTTTTTTTCAGTTTCATTCAGTTTGTAATGACACCATCACGTTTTGTTTTAGAAAACAGCTGCTTTAGAACTTTAAATGTTCAACAACCTTACAGTTTTATTTGTCTTAACAATAAAAATGAAAAAATAAGATATTAACTCAGGTGAGGATCGAACACGGATCTAAAGGCAGGGCAGTCCAACGTGCTGACCACCGGACCACAACGGCTCATGAGGCAGCGAGACAATAAATAAGAAGAGCGGAGCTGCGGCAAAATAATGGATAAAAAGAGTGAGGATGTGGTCAAATAAAGAAAAAAATATTTTTAAAAAAAAGTGCGACTGCTGCTTTCTCCGTTCGGCATGCTGGAGAGGAACAGTCTACGCAAAAGAAGCGCAGAGTTGGTTTCATTGAATACAGCTCTCATCTGATTGGCTGAAAGGTACGAGTTGCCCTGCCTCTGCCAGGAAAGTCTCAAAAATACACACACACGTATCCAGGCGGAGTCGTACGTGAAAGAGGATTTGCACATTCTCATTCAGGATGAACTCGCAAGTTTTAAACATTCAAAACTTTTTGTACACTCTTATACAACTGCAAATGGTGTTTTGCATTTGTGAAACGTATTTTATGAAAATGTATTTTTATTTTGTGCACGTGAAATTTTTTTATGAATATAAATAAATATTTTACGCACGTGAATTTGGTTTTGTGCACGTGAATTTGGCTACGCATGTGTACATCGTGTCTTTTGCAAGAATTATTATTGAGTCTATTCTGACTCCATAGTTGTGCACTTTGAAATGCTAAATTACATAAAATAATTAAAAGGACAAATTCTGGACCTTTTGGCCTTGGGTGGAACAACATTTGCATGTTTGTTTTTAATGTAACTATTAAATATTAAATATATATTTAATATATTATGTTTTAAAAAATTTGCCCTAGTTTTTATATTCTGCAGGTTATGTATAAAATATGATAGTTCTAATAGTTTAATAAAATATATGAGATATTTGGAAATCACCAAGCAAATTATTACTCATTCATTCATTTATTAATTTGGGGTCGCCACAGCGGAATGAACTGCCAACTCATCCAGCATTTGTTTTACACAGTGGATGCCCTTCCAGCTGCAACCCATCACTGGGAAACACACTCTTTCACACTCATACACTACGAACAATTTAGCGTACCCAATTCCCCCATAGCACGTCTTTGGACTGTACACCAGAGCACCAGGAGGAAACCCATGCAAACATGGGGAGAACATGCAAACTCCACACAGAAATGTCAACTGACCCAGTCGAGGCTCGAACCAGCGACCTTCTTGCTGTGAGGCGATCGTGCTACCCACTGTGCCACCATGAGGCCCCCAAAAAATTATTTGAAAATGTAAATTGCATTAAGTGTATTAATTATAATTGTCCTAGAGATTGTATGATTAATATTCAAATTAACCAATAGGATAAAAGGGGGCAGAGAGAAGAACAGGAAGGAGTGTGTTTTAAAATGTATTAAAAAAAGACCAGAACTATGATGTTAATAAATAAGTGCTTAACCATAGAATTGAACTGAAAATACTTATTTGACAATAATAATATTTAAATAATAACCCCAGACCTTTTTTAACGTCAGATTATCACACCTATCTATTTTTTTCTTCTAAACCACTGTACAAAAATAATACATTAATTGGCCCCTAAATTAGAAATAAATCTATGTATTTCCTCTGCTTTCATTTTTTATTATTAAGGTCCAGCTCGATAAGTGACCAAATAAAGATAAAAAAACATTTTTAAATAACATTATTAGTTAATATACTGTTAAGTTGCAAACAATGACAAATTAATTTTAATGTGAATAAGAACAGGTTGTGAGGGGTTTAAATCAATAAATTTAAAAATATTAATATAGAAAATAGTTTGTACTTACTCAATTGTGTAAAGTGGGAAGCCTTATTTAAACATATCTCTGTTCATTCACGGCTGATTCAGAGATTATATTTAAAATCTGCAGTGCTTCATTTGCTTTTTGTTCCTTTTTATTTAAAAAAAAACTCCCAGTAAAGTACGATAAATAATGGTTTAGAGGCTGTAAATTTAAACCTGTGATAATATGACCTTTTCCCAGCAATCAGAGAATATTAATCGCACTATTAAATTGAACAAAACTAGTGTAACAAGCCTATAACACAGATAATCATTCAACTTTAATTCGGTGGCCTGAACTTTTTTTTCTGTTTATGTAGCAACCCATCACGTGATCGCCTATCAGCCCGCGGCGTCACATGACTCACCGCAGCCAATAGGCTCGCAGGAGTGTGGCACCATCCGCGATCCGAGGAAGAGCCCATAAACTCGTCATGTTTGGGTTTATTGCTTGTTTTCTTTCTTTTTATCGCTTTCAGATTCGCTGTTATTGAAGCCCGATGTGCTCAAAGGCATCTACAGGTGAGACCGAGTGGCTTACAGCTCAAATGTGCGTTAAATCGGCGGGTTTCGAGCTCTAGCTAGCAGCTCCACACACACAGACAGAGTCAGTCAGGGCTGTGTTTATTTCCTTCATTATTCACTCTATCATGTCGGTTTAGCCTAAAGTTCAGCAGCTCAGCTCTGTCATTCACGGCTTTCATCGTGATAAATGGTGTTGTGGTGTGTGTAGTTTGTCGGTTGTAGGCTAGCCTGTCCTAAAATCTCTTGTTTTGCGTTTAGTTTTGGTAATATACGTTATGAATTAGGCCAAATGTCATTTATTTGTCTCCGGGTCATAATATAGTCCTTAATACAGTTCAAACAAATGACTTATAGTGTGTGTAATGTAGGGAGGAAGGTAGAATATATATATTATTAATCACTTATATTAATAATTAATACTAATTGTTGTATTAACATTTATAAACGAGCATTCTAACTTGTATGTATGTATGTATGTTTATAATATATATATATATATATATATATATATATATATATATATATATATATATATATATATATATATATATATATATATGAGCAGTTCCAGCATTATGGATGTGACATTTGCTGTAAAAACTCAAGACTTAAATTTACATAGTAAGTATACGTCAACATTATATTGAAGCAACTGTTTATATTTTCCAAAACAGTTAACCACAGAGTTCTGGGAGCAGATAAATATTGATCTGTAAACATTTTTTATATTTTAAATAAGGGGAAATAAACATTCGTTTTGGATGTGACGAAAAAAGTCTGTGAGTTTGCAGTTAACATCATACTTTGTAGAAATTCAGTGAATTAAACTGCACAACCCAAAAGAAACAATAATCAACAGGATAAGAGTTGCTCTCTTTAGAACAAACATGATTGATTTTATTTTATTTGACATTTTTGCATGTATTAGGGAAAAGCTTCTTTACAAATGTGGCCGATGTGAAATTGCCTCTTGTGTGACTTTGGTAAATCAAATGTAATAGTTTGAAAACACTGACAGAGACATTTTTTGAGTATTCTTAAGGTGTAAAATACTTGCTTACACAAAAAAATTTAGAAACGGTTTCTCTATTTTGGTGAAAAATTTTTTTTTCATGGCAAGGTTGACATTTGCATGAAATTGCTGATGGATATTTTTTTTATGTATTTTGTATATAGTTTGTGTGTCATATAAAGTTGAAGTCAGAATAATTAGCCCCCCTGTTTATTTGTACCCCCAATTTCTATTTAACAGGGAGCAGATTACTTCAGCATATTTCTAATCATAATAGTTTTAATAACTCATCTCTAATAACTGATTTATTTTATCTTTGCCATGATTACAGCACATAATATATTCCTAGATATTCTTCAAGACACTTCTATACAGCTTAAAGTGACATTTAAAGGCTTCACTAGGGTAATTAGGTTAACTAGGCAGGTTAGGGTAATTTGGCAAATTATTGTATAATGATGGTTTCAACTAACTTCAACTATGTGTATGTGTGTATGTATGTATGTATGTATATATATATATGTATGTATGTATGTATATATATATATATATATATATATATATATATATATATATATATATATATATGAGCAATTCCATGAAAATGTCAACCTTGCCATGAAAAGAAAAATGTTTTCACCAAAATAGCGAAACCGTTTCTACATTTTTTTGCACAGGCAAGTGTTTTACAGTACTTTAAAAATACTTAAAAATGTCTCTGTCAATGTTTTCAAACTATTATATTTGATTTAACAAAGTCAAACAAATGGCAATTTCACATCCGTCACATCCATAACGAAAAAGTGTCACATCCATAACAAAGCTTTTCCCTCAAAAATGCAAATATGTAAAAAATAAAATAAAATCAATCAGTTTTGTTCTATAAAGAGCCAACTCTTATCCTTTTGTTGAGCATTATTTATTTTGGGTTGTGCAGTTTAATTCACAGAATTTCTACGAAATATGTTGAATACTGTAAACTCGCAGACTTTTTTTGTCACATCCATAACGCTTGTTTATTTTCCTCATTTAAAGTATAAAAATGTTTACAGATTGAATTTTTTTGATCCCATAACTCTGTGGTTAGTTGCTTTAGAAAATATAAACAGATGATTCAATATAATTTTAACGTATACTTTCTCTGCAAATTTTTTGTTTTGAATTTTTACTGCAAATGTCACATCCATAACGCTGGAATCAGCCATATATATATATTTATATTTTGTTTAAGTCAGAATTATTAGCCCCCCTTTTAATGTTTTTTTTTTATATTTCCTAAATTATGTTTAACAGAGCAAGGACATGTTCACAGTATGTCTGAAAATATTTTTTCTTTTGGAGAAAGTCTTATTTGTTTTATTTCAGCTAGAATAAAAGCAGTTTTTAATTTTGTTAAACCCCATTTTAAGGTCAATATTATTAGCCTTCTTAAGCAATTTTTTTCGATTGTCTCAGGAACAAACCATCGTTATACAGCAACTTGCCAAATTACCCTAACCTGCCTAGTTAACCTAATTACCCCAGTGAAGCCTTTAAATGTCACTTTAAGCTGTATAGAAGTGTCTTGAAGAATATCTAGTCAAATATTATTTACCGTCATCATGACAAAGATAAAATAAATCAGTTATTACAGATGAGTTATTTAAACTATTATGATTAGAAATGTGCTGATTGAAGAAATCTGCTCTCCGTTAAAAGGAAATTAGGGAAAAAGTAAACAATGGTGCTAATAATTCAGGGGGGGAGGGGGGGGGGGGGGGGGGGGGCTAATAATTCTGACTTCAACTGTATTTATATTAGGCATGTGATGATAACCGGTTTCAAGGTTTACTGCAGTTTGGAAAAGTCAAGGTATTAAAACCGCAAAAATATTTTGTTATACCGGTACTAAGGTATATTTAAAGGTTTTTTTAAAGTGTTTTTTTTTTAATACGGAAACCTGTGTTTTTGAAGCTAAAAAAGATAGAAGAAGTCAACTGTTTATGTTAATTATGTAGCCTGAAATGTTTTATAAAATGTAATATATTGTGTTAAATGGGGGAAAGTTGTTGTTTTTACTAAGAAATGTAAAAAGAAATAATTTTACTGCAGTAAACACTTACCATGCCTAATACACACACACACACACACACACACACACACACACACACACACACACACACACACACACACACACACACACACACACACACACACACACACACACACACACACACACAAGTAACACACATACATTAGATTAAATTAGAATATGTTAAAACATTTTAATATTAAATTAAATAATAATAATAATAAATTATACTTTTATAATGTATTATTACAATATAAATTATATCTACATTTCTTCGTCAGTACTTTTTTTGTGTTTTATGTATGCTTGTGTATTTATATATAAATAAAGATTAACATCATATACACTTATTATGTAAATACAAACTTTTATTTTGGAATAATCAAGATTAATCGTTTTGGGAAGAAAAGTAAATGCAATAAAATGTGCAAATATTATCTACAGTATAAGTGCTCATTTACCATAAAAAAGTAAATAGTCATTTGCTTAACTGTACTCATAAACTCAGTCATCAGGCTCTCAGGTCTGTGTGAGTGAATGAAGTGACTGTATTATTATTGAAACCTTTGAGTGTGTGCGTGTGTGCGTGTGTGCGTGTGTGTGTGTGTGTGTGTGTGTGTGTGTATGTGCGCGCGCGCGCGTGTGTGTGTGTGTGTGTGTGTGTGTGTGTGTGTGTGTGTGTGTGTGTGTGTGTGTGTGTGTGTGTGTGTGTGTGTGTGTGTGTGTGTGTGTGCGCGCGCATGTGTGTGTTTGTGCGCACCGGTTTATCTACACTTGTAAAGGCTCAATTGTCCTCTCTTATGTAGTGTGATCTAGTGTTGACATCTCCTGGTCGTCACTAATTAATAGTGCAGAAGAGTTTTCACAGACTGTGTCATTAACCTGAGAGAACAACAATCAAGGTCTATGTGTGTGTTTGTGTGTGTCTTTGTGTGAATGGGTTTATTTGTGTGTGTGTGTGTGTGTGTGAGTGTGTGTGTCTCTTTGTTTCTGTGTGTATGATTGTGTGTGTGTGTGATTGTGTGTGTGTGAATGTGAGATTGTGTGATTGTGATTGTGAGCGTGCTTCATTCCAGCAGTTTAGACTCCATCATGTTGCCTGATTTTAATGTCTGCTGTTGCATGTGATGCAGGACAGAGAGGAGCACATGACCGACTGACTGACTGACCGCAGCTCAGAGAAACTACTGTGAGTCTCTCTCTCTCTCTCTCTCTCTCTCTCTCTCTCTCTCTCTCTCTCTCTCTCTCTCTCTCTCTCTCTCTCTCTCTCTCTGACACTTAAATAGATTTTAATGCTATTGAATTGTTAAAAATAAGTAAATAAAGCTGAATTTAAACTTGAAGGTAAAAGAAATCTCTCTGTTGACGACATGCCTTAATTCATTTACTGTAGGAATGCTTTTCTTATGTCCATCACTACTGTGGCAATAAGACAGTAATGTGCATCTATCTAGTGTAGTAAACGCTGACCTATATTTTACATCCAATACTGAGCATGAGTACAATGGCTTTATCTTTCTGTCTAAATGGGAGCTACATCATCATCATCATCATCATCATCATCATCATACTGCAACAACAATACAGTAGACCTATTCATGATAGATAATGAGGTTTAATGTGCTTTTATGACGTATTTCTGTGATTCGTCTCCTGTCTGTTGAATATTTAATGCAAACAACACATTAAAATACAAAGTAATCTGGAATAGTTCTGTGTGTTGGGATCTGATTTCTGATTGAGCTCTTCTCTGTTGTAGATTCTGAAGGATGATTTATTTGAGGCAGTAAAGGTAAGTAACATGATCATTTCTCAAGGTATTAGAAACATTCATAAAGCTCCAAGAGGACAAGAGGCTCCTATATTTATTCATTTATTATTGTTTATTTTGATAGAGTAAACTACTCCACTAGTCTAAAATGTGGACTTTTAAAAATATTTTTAATTATTTAAAACTATTAATAATTAATTATAATTAACTTTTTTATAATTTGAAATGTGTCTATTATGCTAATGTCAGTGTTGGGCAGCATAGATATATACACTAGATATCGCATAGGGACCCTGAGCATGCGTCAATAGCGCCGCCACATTGGTACAGTGCTCCCAAGGACAAATGTCATTCAACCGCACTAGTCAAGACAGTGTTATTACGTGAAGATGCGGGACTTTAGCGCTGTCTACGAGTGTAGTAACGAGCAAACAAAGAAAACAAAGCACAAAGGCAGAACATTTCATAGGTAATATTAAGTTTTTTTTTTGTTTTTGTTTGTTGTGAACTTTTGTGCTAATCAGGTAACGTTATTGATGATAACAGTCACTGCATTCAGCATACGGCAAAGCAGCTCCAACTCGCACTAAACACTTGGCTTATGCTAGTTTTGTTGAATAAAATCAGCAAACAATGCAAAAGAAATATGACAACGAGATGCTGCGCTGCCAGAAACTTGTATTATTGTCGCCTAACGTTAGTGAAAGAGTCGTTCGGGGGATTCATTCTCAAACGAATCGCTCCCTCCGTCAGTATGAGGAGTGAAAGCAGGAGAGGAGCTGTGTTTCAGGACATGATTAAATCAGATTTAACAGGGAGGGTGGATAGTACATTTCTGTACACACAAACACAAGCTTTTTGTCAGGAATGCCCGTGCGGTCACTGATCCATCAATTTAGAAAAGTGATGTAAAATTATAATTTTTGTAATTACAAAAAAAAAATTTACATACTAACATCCAGGAAAACTCCCGATCATAGATATATGTGTATATGTGTATATCTCTGGCTTTGGATGGCCACAGTCCTCCACTGTACCTTGGTCCTGCATTCATTTCAAAGGAGCGCTACCCTGTAGCAAGATGGCGGCGGTATTGACGCATTCCGTCCAATAGACCAGGGGTTCCCAAACTTTTCAGCCCGCGACCCCCAAAATAACAATGCCAGTGACTCGCGACCCCCAATATCCTCTGAGGTGGTTATAAATACAGAAACCTTGCATGCAATGACGCAAACACACTAATTAAATTTGTGTCAGTGCTTTAAATGTGCCAGAAAGTATAACCTGATGTTATAAAATCAAAATGCATCTGACGCTATTGCTGCCTTTAATATAATGTAATTACCCCAGGGGTCGCAATCCAATAGAACTAGTAACTATAAGCTACTATAGTAACTATATATTATATAGTAACTATAAACGACTATTTTTATTTTCAGTATAGTTATGGATAAAATATGTTAATTCTTATGGTTTAATAAAAATAAATAGATTTTTGGAAATCACCAGGCTACCCCCCTTCATTGCCCCGCGACCCCTCGGGGGGTCCCGACCCCCACTTTGAGAACCACTGCAATAGACAACAATAGGCCAGGCGACATCTAGTGTATATATCTATGGTTGGGCAGTAGCGTTGCTACAAGTAGTGATGCTACTAGCTTCACTACATTTCTTAGTAGCTTGGCGGTAGCATCGCTACTTTCTAAATCAAATAGCTTTTCAGTAGCAAAGCTATTTTATTAATCAAGTAGCGCAGTAGCGTCCACACAAGCTACATTTGCAGATCACAGATCAAAAAGTGACGGCACCGACATTCACGGAGCTGTGAGGCCGGTGTGTAGCCGATGAAAGTAAATTCATGGCTGTGTCCGAAACCGCAGACTTCCATACTATATAGTACGCTAAAATCAGTATGCAAGCCGAGTAGTATGTCCGAATTCATAGAATTCGAAAATCTGTATGCGAGAAGTACCCGGATGACTTACTACTTCCGGCGAGATTCTAGAGTGCTCATCCCATGCATGCTGCGCTATCCCATGATGCCCCGCGAGCGAATTCATGAATAGGAGTAAAGCGACGCAATTGACGCAGGTAGGTCACGTGACCATGATAAAACAGCGGATGTAGTACGCCCGAATTACATTCATACTTTTCACGTTCATACTGTATAGAACGTACTTTTCTAACTGCCGAGTAGTACGTTTAAATTCAAATGCAGTAACTACTGAGTAGTAGGCGGTTTCGGACGCAGCCCATATGATGGCTAGAATGAGGAATTCTTCTTCCTGTTTTACGGTGTTCGACAACAAACTTTTTGGTGCATTACTGCCACCTCTGGTTGGCGATGTCGCCAACCGAAATTTGCTTGATGGAAAGATGACTGAGGGAGAGAAGTTATTTCTGAAGTAGTATTCCTCGTGACCATACCTCGAGAAGTACATGTTAATATGCAATAACTTGTATATTATTCCAAAAAAAATCCCTTTATTATAGTATTTATTTTAAATGTGTAACACCTGGTTTTATTGGAGTTTTGTTTTAGCTGTTATGCTATATTGTGTTTCTGTTTAGTACAGCATACTGTTTACAGTAAATAACTGAACTGAACTATTCTGCCTCATATGTTTCATTGACCGTTTTATTGACCACTAAGATCAATGATTGACTTGGATTTAAATTGCTTCGATTTAAAAATAAAAAAATGCAAAAATAGCTTGGATGTGGCTAAGCTACTTTTGCCTTGTAGCTTTTAGCTTAGCTTGCTACATTTCCCAGGGGCTAGCTTTTAGTGTAGTTAAGCTACATTTTGAGTAGAGTAGCTGATAGCTTAGCTCACTACATTTTCCAAGTAGCTTGCCCAACACTGGCTAATGTACGCTCGGCAGTATGATGAATTTGTCTTGGATAACATTGTTTCTGTTATTATTATTGCTATTAAACAGTTTTTTAATTTATTTATTTTTATTGTAAAATAAGTGACAGTTTTTCAGGATTCTTTGATAAACTGAAAGTCCAGATATGCTGAATTTGTGCTCGATTTGTATACATTATTATCGCTTCTATTATTATTGTGTAATTGCATAGTTTTTTTAATATTATTATTATTGTTATTATGAGCAAACTATTCATTTAAAGGGCCATGAAACCCCCGTATCAGCAGGATGTTTTCACTCCTCTAGTTTGGACAAAGTCAGGAAAGTGGGTGTGTCTGGCTGTGTTAAGGTGGGAGTGTCGGGGGAGGGAAAAGGGGAAGGATTTGAATAAAAATGGGAGTTTCCATTTGGGCATGCGCTGATTTACACCAAGGCAAAACAAACACACACGCAGGGGAGAAAGAGAGTGATTGTGTTTAATGACGGTGGAATGTTTGATACCGCATGTCGTATAAGAGAAAAAAAACTCTGCATTTCTCTGCAACTCAGATGCACTCGGTAGGTCAGAAAGCCGTGTACAGATAGAGCGGTTAGGTGCGGAATAAAACCTAGCGGGAGCGGGACAAAAAAATCAGTCCGACGCAGACCTCTAGACCAGGGGTGTCCAAACTCGGTCCTGGAGGGCCGGTGTCAAGCATATTTTAGTTCCAACTCCAATTAAACGAATCTGAACCAGCTAATTAAGCTCTATCTAGGTAAACAAAAAACATTCAGGCAGGTGTGTTGCAGGAAGTTGGAGCTAAACTATGCAGGACACCGGCCCTCCAGGACCGAGTTTGGACACCCCTGCTCTAAACTGTCGCTTTAAAATCAAATGAGATTGTGCTCTTTTTTTTAAAAGAAGGCGGAGCTACAAGCGCCTGTGCATTACCATAGCAGCAGATGTAAAACAGCTTTAGTGTTGTCAGTGCTGGTCAGGTCTGCAGGTTGTCATTGGTCAGTGTGTGCTTCATGCCTCTGTCGGTCTATGAAGATTCCTGTCGCTGTTCATCTAAAACTCCACATCTATAATCCTCTGAGTCTATGCTGACATCATCTTCAGCAGCTCAAACACTCTAATGGCTAATGGACAGACGGCTGCTTCTCACTCAGGGCTGCTGTTTATGCTAATGAGGGAGAGATGGGCACTAGTGGGCGGGGCTTTCCCCCCTGATGACATGTACAAAGGTCATCGAATGTCAATCAAAGTGTTTCATTCATCAAGTCTGATTAACAAACACAATTAATTCATGTTTATCATTAGAGGCTGGAGATATTCACACTGCTGACACATAACTGGGTTTACACACCTTATAAAAGTGAGTTTAATAGGTGCCCTTTAAACATGTCTCTCATATTCAGTTCACAGGACGAGGATTACAGCCATGTCATCTAAATCATCTCTCCTGAAAGTGATTCTGCTGGGTGATGGCGGCGTGGGCAAAAGCTCGCTCATGAACCGATACGTCACCAACAAGTTTGATGCTCATCTCTTCCACACCATCGGTGTGGAGTTCCTCAATAAAGACTTGGAGGTACATTTTCTACTGTAAATACAGTTGAAGTCAGAATTATTCGCCCCCCTGTTTATTTTTCCCCAATTTCTGTTTAACGGAGAGCAGATTTTTTTCAACATTTCTAATCATAATAGTGTTAATAACTCATCTCTAATAACTGATTTATTTTATCTTTGTCATGATGACAGTAAATAATATTAGACTAGATATTCTTCACGACACTAGTATTCAGCTTAAAATCACATTTAAAGGCTTCACTAGGGTAATTAGGGTAAAGTTAGGGTAATTAGGCAAGTCATTGTATAACAATGGTTTGTTCTGTAGACAATCCAAAACTAATATTGCTTAAGAGGGCTAATAATATTGACCTTTAAAGCTATTAAAAACTGCTTTTATTCCAGCCGAAATGAAACAAATAAGACTTTCTCCAGAAGAAAAAATATTATAGGAAATACTGTGAGAAATTCCATGATTTGTTCAACAGCATTTGGGAAATATTTGAAAAAGAAAAAGAAAATTCAAAGGAGGGCGAATAATTCTGACTTTAACTGTAAATAACATCTTCATAATCTAATACAGACATAGAAGTTGCAGCAACAAGCTTCTTTTTAGCTTTAAAAGAAAAGATTTACTTCTAAAATAGAAGCCTGAGATCACACACACACACACACACACACACACACACACACACACACACACACACACACACACAAAACAAATGTACAGGTGTGTGTAATGCAGTGTGTATGGGGGCAGGACAGTAAATCTGACGTTATTCTCTTATCTGGCTGCCATTGTCAGTCTCGCACTATTTCTTTGCTTTTTCCGAAAGTCTTGATAACACCATCTTGGAGTTTTTCTTTTAATATTTCATCAAATAGGATTGGGAGAGGGCAACTAATCATTTACTTGCATGCATTGTGCTCTGAGTTTACCAACTATGATGACCTCTGCTGCTGAGAATCGCGCACATGTTAAAAGGGTTCAGTAGATAATACATGCAAAAAAAAAAAAAAAAGACTTTTTTTATTGTCTAACACAGGGGTGTCCAAACTCGGTCCTGGAGGGCCGGTGTCCTGCAGATTTTAGCTCCAACTTGCCTTAACACACCTGCTCATATGTTTTCAGAAAGCCTAGTAAGAGCTTGATTAGATAGCCTAGGTGTGTCTGATTGGTTTTGGAACTAAACTTTGCAGGACACCGGCCCTCCAGGACCGAGCTTGGACACCCCTGGTCTAACATATTTATTATGAACTAAAATATAATGGAAGTCAATGGTTACAGGTTTCCTACATTTTTCAAAATATCTTCTTTTTGCATTCAACTGGATAAAGAAACCCTTAAAGGTTTGGAACAAGTAAGGGATGAGGAGTAAATGATGACAGAATATTCCTTTTTTTGGGTGAACTGTCCCGTAAGTGGGATAGATTGTTAGAAACCTGTAACCATTGACTTACATAGTCGAAAAAACAAATACTACGAAAATACCACCAATGGTTGCTGGTTTCCTACTTGTTTTTTTTTTTTTATATAAAGTACCCAATCATACACCCAACGCAATAAGACACAAGACGTATTTGACGCGATTTGTTGCTCTTCTCAGACCCTCGCAACTGTAATTTTCATGTTTTGCGCCACATTGTTTAAATGGCAAATCCATTTGTGCCCTTCTGTGGTGTGGTGTGTGTGTGTATGTGCGTGCGTGTTAAGGAGGTGTATTTAGGCGCATTTGTTGGAGCGTTGCTATTTTGAGGAACTGAAATAGACCAACAGCACCATTGACCAACTAAAAGCTGCTCTAAAGTCCAGCAGAGCGCGTTAGTTATGCACCTATGCAGATCCAAACACTTACACACTGCTGAATACACACAGCAACACACAAATATCTTTACAGATGAAAACATGATTATTTTCTACATCAATATAAACAGCACTGCCTCCATGCCTTCTTCACCTCGGGGGGGTTCTTCCGTTCATTCATGATGATCTGCATCTGTATAATGTGATTATTATTAGCATAATTATTTATTATATGCATATTTATATTTGCTTTATTAAACACAAGTGTAGATGTGTCCAGCTGTGGGGTTGTGGAGACGTCTGCATCACCATATGGGGCATAAGAACATGACGTGTGTTTGATATATCTCAGTTTTCTGACCACACTTCATTATTATTGCTCATTTATTCCTTTGCTGGAGATTAGAACTGAATTTAGAAATAGTGTTGAATCAAATCTTTGTGTTTAACAAAGAAATTAAATATGTGGGCTGATGGATGTGTTCAATGGAGTGAGTTTCCACCGTTTCCTCACTCCACCAGAGTAAAGGAGTAAAGAGTGAAAGTAAAGTAAAGAGAAAGTAAAGAGGCTGAATGGAGGAGGCTCGTTCTTTATCCTTGCGCTGCAGATGATCTGTTTAACTGTTTTCTCATGAGTGAAGCGTTCTGTTTTTACACTTATAAAGTCACCATATAAATAGCAAATGCACCATGGATCGATGCACCTGACTCTTAAAGGGAATGAGAGACGAGACTCTGATTTGTTTAATGCACGTTATGCTTAAAACACGCCCAGAACTCTTTAAGAGAATAAGCATAAGCCTGTTAGACCATGCGCCGGGGGTGCAGAGCGCATTCTTCTGTCCTTAAAATGGCAAAAGTGGATTCAGACATGCCCTTAATGCTTTTGCGCCACAAGCTTTAGGGCTCTATTTTAATGATCTAGGTACAAAGTCTGGAGTGCAGCGTGCAAAAGCATTAAAGGCATGTCCACTTTTGCTATATTAAGGATGGGAAAATTCGCTTTGCACCATGGTGCATGGTCTAAAAGGGTCGAGCTTATTCTCTTAATGAGTTCTGGGTGTGTTTTGAGAATAAACCAATCAGAGTCTCATCTCCCATTCCCTTTAAGAGTCCGGTTCATTGCGCCATAGCGCATTTGCTATTTACATGTCGACTTCGTAAGTGGAAAAACTGAAAGAAAACAGTTAAACAGAGCATCTGCAGCGCGAGAATGAGAGAGTGAGCCTCTTCCAATCTGCCTTTACTTTCACTCCTTTGTGGAAAAGAAAACGTGTTGTACACACAGACATCCAATAGCCTACATAATTAATTTAGTTTGTTAAGAGCAAAGATTTGCTTCAAAACTATATCTAAATTCATTTCTAATTTCAAGCAAAGAAATAAATGAACAATTATAATGAAGTGTGGTCAGAAAACAAGCGTTGTGTTCTTATGGCCCATATGCTGATGCAGACGTGTCCAAAACCCCACAGCTGGACACATCTACACTTGTATTTATTAAAGCAAATATAAATATGCATATAATCAAAAAAACTGCTAATAATAATCACATTATACAGATGCAGATCGTCATGAATAAACTGAAAAAGCCCCCCGAGGTGAAAAAGGCATGGAGGCAGTGCTGTTTATATTGATGTAGAAAGTATGCTAATATATTTTTTAAATATTTTATTTCTTTAATTGTTTTCATCTGTAAAGATATTAGTGTATTGCTGTACATCCTGCGTGTTTAAAGGAGTGTGTACGTACGGTGCATAACTAAGCGTGCATGACTTTAGACCTGTTTTTAGCTGGTCTATTATACAGTCTATTTTAGTTCCTCAAAATAGCAACACTCCAGTAATGCGCCTTCACACACCTCTTTTCTACACTGAAACACCCATGAGTCCACAAAGTGGCGCAAATGGATTTGCTATTTACACAACGTGGCACAAAAACAGCAAAATTAAGGTTGTGTGAGTCGGAAAATAGTAACATGTCGTGGAAACTGTTGCAGAAAAAAGATTCTGGTCTGCAAAAGTCTTTAAGTCAAATTTCTCAAAGTCTGAGATCTCCGAAGTCTTTAGGCAAAGCACTTTGTCACAGCATCAGTAACAACAGAGACAGGTCGTTCGAGTGTCTGCTGAACATAGGCTTGTACATAGTTTAAATACACTTCTGTGTCTTAATACTCCATCCAAATTTACGGATTACACACCTCCATCAGCTTCTCCGCTAATGAGATCTTAAATCTCTTAGGTGCCCGACACTAATAGAATTTCAGTGTCTTTCAGGTGTCTTACCCATGTCCAGTAAAGGTCTTTCCTTCCTGTGTTGACTCCGCCAAAAACAATGCTCAACAATATATCTTGTCCACTGAGCTGTCAACTGTACGTTCAGCTGAAGTTCATGGGTACTCATATTTTTTAGATGTCATTACAAATGAGTGTGGGTGCACGTGCAGGTGTGCCTTATCATGAGTTACAGAACAGAACGCAGGTGTCCTTATGGCCTTGCATCCATAAATCTACCCTCATTGTGACATTAATGCTGCTCTTCTAATTTATCTTCTCATCTCTGACTGCATTTACACAGAATGACTTTTTCATTTACCAAACCACACATACCTGATAATAATGCCGCAGGTATGGGTAATAATACAATATATAATTATAATAATAATACTGAAATCACACAAATAAGCATATAAATGAGAGTAATACATTCTTCAGAAATTCATCAAGACACAATGAATTCCCCAACAACACGCATCTTGCTTCTTGTTGTGCCAGGTGTATGATAGAGCTCTTAGACTTTGCACCTAGACCATTAAAATAGAGCCCTGGGGTCCGTTATTCGTACGTGGATTACTCGGTTAGCTGGATTTGGTTATTGACGATATGACATGATCCAGGATTGTTTATTTCTTCAAAGCTGATCCGAGAGTTGTTATCATAGCAACCCTGTCGTAGCTCAACCCTGATCGGGAGCAGGTTCATATCTTATAAACAGGATTATATTGGCTCAGTTCAAGCAAAAATAATAGAGAAAGTATGTGCTGGATTCTGATATTTTACAGTAGTAGTTATATACACTTGGGAAATAGTAAATATTTTTTAACTATATATATATATATATATATATATATATATATATATATATATATAAAGTTATAGTTATTAATAAAATAAATAAAGTTATTAGGGATGTAACGGTATTGTAAATACCGTCATACCGCAATATTAATTTTTTTCGATATTACCGAAGTCGCATGACTCGGTAAAACTATAGGTCTTCTGAGAAAATTTGCTCAGGCGAATGAAGCGAACGGGAGATAGCGAAAACTACAATTGCCATCAGCCCATGCTTGACCATAATCCCTTGCGGTCTGTTGTCGCTACAGATCCAGTAATGCGGAAATGGAGTGTGCTGCTAGAAGCGGGGATGAAAAGAGCTGGAAAACTCTAAAGCGGGTCGCACACCAGAAACGGCGAGCGCCATGTATTTTAGAATTCTAAACATAGGTTTCTATCAGGATACACACACCGGCGCCGCAAGATGGCGGCTGTCGACGGCGCCCGGCGACGGCTCAGGACGCAGTTCATTTTTCAGCCGCGCCACAGAGCGCCATCTGATTAGTTTCATGTTAAATATCATTCGAATGTGCGCGTCTGGTGTGTGATACTTATAAACTGTCATGTACATCTGAAAACGGAGGCGGGGCTGCAGACATTCGCCTCTCTGATTGGGGCTTTTCCTGAATATTAAGTAGCCTAACACGCACAGTTCAGTCCTGCATAATCTCCGTGTAAGTTCAGACTTCGCAAGTTTGATCAAGGCTGCAGTCTCTTCTTCTCAGTTTGATATGGAAAAGCAGACTATACCGAGGACACGGGTAAATCTTCAAAGGGAACAGTGTACTTTATAACTTCATTCACATCACCCTGGCTTCGTTGTTTCACTTTCTCAACAATAAAATGTAAACATGATTTAAGGAACTGCCTATTTTCATTTTAATATTAGCAACTTAACAGACAGCAGACATGTTGAGGCGTCGTGCTGCATAAGATGAGCGTCATCTTCACTGTGTGGATATTTATAACAAAACGGAGCCGATAAAAACACTGCCTCCTTTCAATTTCAGTGAAAATACGAAACACAGCCTCTCTTTTGCTGAATATCAGTTTTAATAATCGATAATGGCCATTTTAAAAGTATAACATACAATAAGTTTATACATTATAGGAAATAAAGGCAAGCGATCAGTCAATATACAGAATGTACGTGCTTACATTAATCATTAACTTCTCTTTGCGCTCTGCCAAAACACGTTACCTGAGAACAAGTAATAGATTCCAATGCCCAAAGTCAGGGAATATGTCGTTAGATAAAGACAAGATAAATGAAATATCCCGTTTAATAAATATAGTGAGATTAGATCCAGCGGGAGATGCTTGATGAGAAGTCCAACTAGCAGAGCTCTCATCTGGGTAGATGGGCTGAGTGTGATTAAATGTTGAATGTGATGAGTTTTCAACAATACTAAATTTAAACTTTATTTTTTTACATGGTTTAATAATTTTTTGTTATTAAAATTGAAGTTCCTGTTTCAAAGCTTACAGATAGATGGCTAATTTGTATGTCATTGACACTTTTGGCACTTTTTTGGAGTATTTTCATAAGTTTTGTTTTTTCCTGTAAATGATTCAATAAATACCGTACCGTGACATTCATACCGAGGTATTACCGTACCGTGAAATTCTGATACCGTTACATCCCTAAAAGTTATACATATTAATAAAACTTATGTAATCTGCACCATCGAAATGAAAGTACAAAGACTGCCACCTGGTGGTGCAAAGAGAAAACTTATTGATATGAACTTTTTAGATCGCTTTAGTACAAATTGTGTATAATAGAAATGCACAATATGTGACTTTTTTAAAGCAATAATACATTTATGCAGTCATAAACATGTTTTAATAGTTAATATGCCAGTGATTTGATGCTTCACAAAAGTTGCAGACGCCTTTACCAATATCAAAATGCTTTTGTAAACATCCAGTTATTCTTTACACCGATTAAAAAAACGGCTACTATAATAAAGAAAATCTTCTCTAAATGTAGAACTAAATACATTGATTTGCATTGAAATAAATGATGAATACTCTTGACACATGAAAGTGTAAAGCCTGCAGCCCACAACAAATGTGGAAGGTTATTGCGGGTCATATTTAACAAGCCGTTTACTGCTAATTTGATGTAATTTTGCTGACATGGATAATTGAATATTAATCAGATGATGTCATTATGCTGCTGTGCCGTCAGCCAATCGTTGCATTGCTGATCATGATTTCGAGGATCGATAGATCAGTCCTTCTCCACGCATGCAGCGATCTCAGATCAGTTCATCCAGACATTCTAATCTGATTCGCAAACTTGTTTGAAAATTAGCCAGAGATCAGTTATCGAGATTAAAAGATCCCGGATCTGCCAAATCATCTTAGAGCATTTAAGCGAGGTACGAAAAACAGACCCTAGAATATCACTATTATATCATTTTGAACAATGTCGGAATCTGGTAACCATTAACTTCCAATGTATTTATTTCATGAATATGGAGGTCAATGGTTAGAGCTTTCTAACACAGAAGATATTCTGAAGAATAATAACCATTGACTTTCATAGTCAGAAAAGTAAACACTGTGCAAGTCAGTCAGCGGTTGCTGGTTTCCTACATTTTTTACAATATCTTCTGTTTGCATTCAACTGAATAAAGAAACCTTTAAAGGTTTGGAATTTGTAAAGTAAATACTGTAATACAGTAGTCGCCAAACTTGTTCCTGGAGGGCCGGTGTCCTGCAGATTTGAGCTCCAACCCTAATCAAACACACCTGAACAAGCTAATCAAGGTCTTACTAGGTATACTTGAAAGATCCAGGCAGATGTGTTGCGGCAAGTTGGAGCTAAACCCTGCAGGGACCCTCCAGGTGACCCCTGCTGTAATAAGTCAACCAGTGTATTTGTAAAGCATCTCAAATGTTGCCTTTTTTTCCTGCATAGGTGGACGGCCGTACTGTGACCCTGCAGATCTGGGATACGGCCGGGCAGGAGCGCTTCCGTAGCCTCCGCACGCCTTTCTACCGCGGCTCCGACTGCTGCCTACTGACCTTCAGTGTGGATGACAGCCAGAGCTTCCACAACCTGGTCAACTGGAAAAAAGAGTTCATTTATTACGCCGACGTCAAGGAGCCCGAAAGCTTCCCGTTTGTGGTTCTGGGAAATAAACTGGACGTTTCGGAGCGTCAGGTGAGCAGTGAAGAAGCGCAGGAGTGGTGCATGGAGAGCGGTGGATACCCGTATTTCGAGACCAGTGCAAAAGATGCCACTAATGTCGCGGTTGCGTTCGAGGAGGCGGTGAGAAGAGTGCTGTCTCTGGAGGACAGACACGAGCATCTGATTCCTACAGACACTGTGAATCTGCACAGGAAACCGCGCAGCGCTACACAGTGCTGTTAATGGAGGAGAGGCAACTAGCTATTTGAATGGGATAGTTCACACACTGAGATATTAAAGTCTACTCACTTGTTCATTTTTGCCCTCAAATGTGGTTTTGTGAGTTTCTTTGTTCTGTTGAACACTAAAGAAGATGTTTTGAAGAATGTTGTAACGGTTGGCTTTCGTAGTTGGAAAAATAAATTCTATGGAAGTCAATTGTTACAGGCTTTTTTAACATAAAGTATATTTTGAAGAATGTTAGAACGCTGTAAGCTTTGGCTTCTGTAGTCTGAAAAATAAATGCTATAGAAGTCAATGGTTACAGGTTTCTAACATAAAAGATGTTTAGAAGAATGTTTAAAAGCTGTAATCAAAGACTCTCATAGTCAGAAAAGTAAATACAATGGAAATCAAAGGCTACAGTTTTCCTCTTTTTTTTCAATATGTAATACACTCATTACACAATTATTTAGAAAAATGTTTGAAAAGAGTAACCATTGGCTTCCATTGCATTTATTTTATATTTATAGAAGTCAATGGTTACAGCTTTCTAACATAAAAGATAATTTGAAAAATGTTAGAAAGCTATACGCATTGGCTTCTGTAGTCAGAAAAATTAATACTGTAGAAGTCAATGGGTTTTTTTCATAAAAAAATTGTGAAAATTTGTTAGAAAGCTTTAACCATTGGCTTTCATAATCTGAAAAATTTGTATAATGGAAGTCAATGGTTACTGGTTTCCTTCTTTAAAAAAAAAAAAAAAAAAAACTAAACTATTGCCTCTTTTTCTTTATATATATATATATATATATATATATATATATATATATATATATATATATATATATATATAAAGAAAAAAAAGAGGCAATAGTTTAGTAACAGCTTTCTAACGTTCTTCAAAATATCTTTTTTTACGTTAGAAAGCTCTACTTATTGACTTTCATAGTCATAACATAAATACAATGGATGTCAATGGTTACCAGTTTCAAAAAAAATTCTAAATAATATTAATATAAATGATATTAGATGTTTAGGGGCAAAAGATGTTAAAAACTTGTAACCATTGACTACCATAGTATTTATTTTTTCCAACTACGAAAGCCATTGGTTACAGCTTTCTAACATTCTTCAAAATATCTTTTATGTTAGAAAGCTCTAACCATTGATTTCTATAGTCATAAAATAAGTACAATAGAAGTCGATGGTTACTGGTTTCAAACATTTTTCTAAATAATGATATAATTATAATAATAATTATTATTTTCATATATATATATATATATATATATATATATATATATATATATATATATATATATATATATATATCACTATTATATTATTATTTTGAAAACTGTTTGAAACCGGTAACCATTGACTTCCATAGTATTTATTTAATGACAATGGAAGTCAATGGTTACAGCTTTCTAACAAAAAATAAATAAATAAAAAATGTTAGAAAGCTCTAACCACTGACTTCCATAGTATTTATTTTATGACAATGGAAATCAATGGTTACAGCTTTCTAACAAAAAAAAATGTTAGAAAGGTGTAACCACTGACTTCCTGAGAAGGAAAAATATCGCAGTTTTGTTATTATTTTGAAAATCTTGAAATCTGTTAACTATTGGCTTCCATTGTATTTATTTTATGACTTTGGAACGCAATAGTTAATTTCAAACATAAAATATATTTTGCAGAATGTTAGAAAGCTGTAACCATTGACCTCCATTGAAGGAAAAATAAATACAATGGAAGTCAAAAGTTATTGGCTTCCTACATTTTTCAAAATATCTTCTTTCTGTGTTCAACTGAAAAAAAGAAACCCTAAAAGGTTTGGAACGTGTAGGATGAGTAAATGATGACAGAATTTTCATTTTTGGGTGAACTATCCCTTTAAGTGAGTTATTTAAACATGCACTTACTAGTAAACACTGGGTGATTTATGCTCTGTAATTGACCTTACAGCAATTCAGACGGGTTTTATATGTGTGTCTACAGTATAATATTAGCGGATATGATCACACTTTACAATAACATGTCATTACTTAATAGGGATAGTTCACACAAATGTAAATCTGCTCGTCAATCAAGTTCTGATTATGGTTTTATTCTGGTGAGCACAAAAGGAGATGTTTTGAAGAATGTCAGAAAGCTGTAACCATTGGCTTCCATAGTCAAATGGATGAAGTAAATACTACTGAAATTAAAGATCATTTACTCAACTTTCACTTGTTTTAAACCTGTTTGAGTTTCTTTTTTTCTGTCGAACACATCATGATTTTAATTATTATTTTTATTTTAAAAAATGATTGACCTCCATATTATTTATTTCATCCATTTGACTACGGAAGCCAATGGTTACAGCTTTCTGACATACTTCAAAACATCTTCTTCTGTGCTCAACAGAATAAAACCCTAATCAGAACTTGATTAATGAGCAGATTTACAATTTTGTGTGAACTACCCCTTTAATGTATTTACTTACACCAGGCATGTCCAAACTCGGTCCTGGAGGGCTGGTGTCCTGCAAAGTTTAGTCCCAACCCTAATTAGACACACCTGGGCTAGCTAATCAAGCTCTTACTAGGCTTTCTAGAAACATCCTTGCAGGTGTGTTGAGGCAAGTTGGAGCTAAAATCTGCAGGACACCGGCCCTCCAGGACCGAGTTTGGACAAGCCCGACTTACACAAACTAATAATGAACAATACTTGTACAGCATTTATCAATCACACTTCATCATTTACTAATGCATTAAAATCCAAATTCATGCTTGATAACATAAGTTACTGCACTGCGAGTTAACAAACTAACAGTGAATGACTGTATTTACAATAGCAGAGATGAGTAAATACTGTAGTAAATGTATTGTTCATTCCCGTATTTCCAGATCAGTGCAAAAGATGCGACTAATGTTGCGACACTGTTAATATAGTGCCATTAATGGATCTAAATAGCTATTTCCAAATGCACTTACTAGTGAACACTGGGTGATGGATGCTCTGGATCTGAATTCACATGGCTTTTATATGTGTGTGTCTACAGTATGTTATGATTTGGTCACACTTTACAATAAGGTGTTATAAGTTAATGTTAAAGTAACACTCCACATTTTTGTTATTATTATTTTAGAAATATGCAAATTTTACAGCTTTCCCACAGATGAACAGAATAGTTTTATCATTTTTCTAATCTATTCAGCTTATTTTTGGGTATGGCGGGAGCATTTTTAGCCTAGCTTAGCATAGATCATTGAATCAGATTAGACCATTAGCATCTTGCTCAAAAATAATAATAATTAAGAGTTTCCATGGCTGCAGCAGTGCAGTGATCTTACACAATGCCTGAAAATAGTTCCAGCTTGATAACTAAGCAACAGTGCTGTATCAATGCAACGGTACGACTATAACTCCTTTATTATTACGGCAAAATAAAAGTACAGCTCCTAGATCTATCAGCCTAGAAAATAACAACTTTCATTACAAGATGTAAAACAACAGATGAGTGAAGCTTTAAATAGGAAAATTATCAAACCTCTTTGATCATTTTTTTGAGTGCGACGCTAATGGTCTAATCTGATTTAATGATGTATGCTAAGCTAAGCCAAGCGTGTTCATGACAGACCCTGAGATAAGCTACATAGATTCAACTTATCGCATTGGAGCATGCAAGAAATGGCCAAATTAAACGTGCTTTAAAGAGGAAATAATCAAACCTCTTTGATCTTTTTTTTTTTTTTGAGAGAGAGAAAGATGCTAACGGTCTAATCTGATTCAATGATCTATGCTAAGCTAAGCTAAAAGTGTTCCTGCCAAATCTTGAAATCACCCAAATGGATTAAAAAATGGTAGAACTGGCCTGTTTAAACATTAGAGAGCAGTAAAATAGCATATTTACAAGTAAAAAGTGCTTTAATTAAAGAGATAGTTCACCCGAAAATGCTAATTTACTCATTTTCTTTTCCTCAAGTGGGTCCAAAACTTTATTATTTTATTATTATTATTATTATTATTATTTTTTTTTTTTGCAGAACAAAAAAGTTATTTTGAAAACTGTTGTAACCATTGACTTTAATTGTAGGAAACGAAAATACCACAGGTGTCAATGGTTGCAGGTTTACAACATTTTTCAAAATAACTTCTTTTGTGAAACTCCAACAGGTTTTGAAAAGTGAGCAAACAAATGATGGGAGCATTGTCAGATTCGGGTGAACTGGCGCTTTAATGTATTCACTAACATGAAGTAATAATCTATATTAATCATAGTTCAACATTTACTATTGCATCATTAAAATACAAACTTGTCCTTGTTAACTGGATGCATTAACAAGAACTAACAACAAATGACCTTATTTCCATTAATGTTTACAAACATGAAGACTGTAATAAATGTAGTTTGTTCATGTTAGTAAATGCATCAATTATTACACTCTTATTGTAAAGTGTGACCAGTGATTTGAGTGGGAGCTGTGTGTGTATGTGTGTGTGTGTGTGTGTGTGTGTTTTCCGTCTTGGCATGGTAGACTAATAGTGAAATGCAATAAATGCACTGCAACACTGCGATTGTTTTCCATATAAAATATCTGATGATACTTTTCTAAAGACACAGAAGCACAGCTGTGCATTCTGATATGTTGGTCACGCTTTATAATAACATTCCATTCGTTAATGTATTTACTAACATACACTAATAATGAACAATACATGCGCAGCATTACTTAATCATAGATCATTTATGCATACATCATTAAGCTTCATCATTTCATTTTCCAGTTTAATTCTTTTATTTCAGTTCTCACTGCAAACTATTTACAAAATAAATATACAATTATAGTTATTGTGCAGAAAAAGATATCTATCCTTTATAAATCACTACAATTTCTGCTAAATTCAAGTTCTGATTAGGGTTTTATTCTGCTGAGCACAAAAGGAGATGTTTTGAAGAATGTCAGAAAGCTGTAACCATTGGCTTCCATAGTCAAATGGATGAAGAGTAAATACTACTGAAATTGAAGATCATTTACACATCTTTCACTTGTTCCAAACCTGTTTGAGTTTCTTTTTTTCTGTCGAACACATCATGATTTTAATTATTATTATTATTTAAAAAAATGATTGACCTTTATATCATTTATTTTATCCATTTGACTACGGAAGCCAACGCTTACAGCTTTCTGACATACTTCAAAACATCTTCTTCTGTGCTCAACAGAATAAAACCCTAATCAGAACTTGATTAATGAGCAGATTTACAATTTTGTGTGAACTACCCCTTTAATGTATTTACTTACACAAACTAATAATGAACAATACTTGTACAGCATTTATCAATCACACTTCATCATTTACTAATGCATTAAAATCCAAATTCATGCTTGATAACAAGTTACTGCACTGCGAGTTAACAAACTAACAGTGAATGACTGTATTTAAATAGCAGAGATGAGTAAATACTGTATGTATTGTTCATTCCAGTATTTCCAGACCAGTGCAATTTCTGCTAAATTTAAAGGTACATAATAAACAAATTTATTTAATATAAATGTATATTAAGTATATTATATTAACTTTCCCACAATGAACAAATTATTGCAAAAGTACAAATCCCAAAATTCATTCATTCATTTTCCTTCGGCTTAGTCTCTTTCATAAGGGGGTCCCCACAGTGGAATGAACCGCCAACTATTCCAGCATATGTTTTACACAGCGGATGCCCTTCCAGCTGCAATTCAGTACTGGGAAACACCCTCATTCACACACAAACTTATACACTATGGCCAATTTAGTTAATCAATTCCACAATATAGCTTGTGTTTGAACTGTGGGGGAAACCGGAGCACTCGGAGGAAACCCATGCCAACACGGGGAGAACATGCAAACTCCACACAGAAATGCCAACTAACACAGTCGGGACTCAAACCAGTGACCCCAAATTCCATCATATAATGATCTATCCTCATATTTATACATCTCTTTTTTTATCTTTCAAAGTTTTTATTCCATACATTTCCCCCTTTAATGACTAATTATTAATTAATCTATTAATTATTGATTAACAAATACGAATAAACACTGTAATAAATGTATTGTTCATTATTGGCTTGTCAATATATTAATAGATTGTAAAGTGTGAGCTGTGGGTCTGATTGGGAAAATTGAAGATGCGTTATCTAAAAAAAAATGAAGTCTTAATGTATTGTGTTGCTGGAGTAAACATAACTTGATTAAACAACGTTCAGATATTTCTACTTGAAAATGACAACACAGAAAAAAAGAGGCCTGCAGTGTGTGCTTAATGTGATTTTCTTTTGCTGAAACTATGATTACCTTATGCATTTCTAATATACATTATTAACATATAATTATGTAGAGAGTGCCAAATATATACACAATACTTGTACTACAAATATGGATGAGGTGAAGCGTCGAAGCACTTACATTGAAAAGAAAAAGCACTAAAATCTCAATATTGTAGACTGTAAATTGAAATTAAAGAAGCGCTGATGAATACTTGTTGACATTGTTTATTTAAGGTGTGATTTGATAACGGTATTGTACAAAATCCAGTAAATGAGAACAGCTTTTATTGTGTAATCACTGCAGAAATGTGTTGTTGATGTTGTCACACACTACTTCACAAATGTTTTTATTTACAGATCGATTGTTTTGTAGTAGCTGCACCCGCTTCCAATGTTATAACTTGATTTAATGGCCGTTATCAGCTGATAGATATGGGCCAGTAGGGGCCTTCTGCGCCCACTGGTAGGTTCAGAGAACTGTTATCATCCATCCACATGGTTAATCAGCTAATCTAATTGAGAAGACTCCATATCCAGATCTGTTTTACATTACTGTGGCGTTTGGTGTAGGACAGGGGTGTCAATGTCAATTCCTGGAGGGCCGCAGCCCTCAACACATCTATCTGCAGGTGCCAAACAAGCCTAAAGCACTCAATTAGTTTGATCAGGTGTTTAATTAGGGTTGAAATGAAACTGCAGAGCTGCGGCCCTCCAGGAATTGACTTTGATACCCCTGCCCTACCCCAACCGTCACAGTTATGTAAAACAGATCTGAATCTGGAGTCTTCTCTATTAGTATAGCTGATTAACCATGTGGATGGATGATAACAGTAGGTGCAGAAGGCCTCTATTGGCCCATATTTATCGGCTAAAACAGGAGGGTGGCGGGAGACGAGTTTGAAATATGGGACACTCCTTGGAAAAACGGGAGTGTTGGCAGGTGTGGTTTAGGGTTGGGGTAGGACAGGGGTGTCAAAGCCAATTCCTGGAGGGCCGGAGCCCTGCAGAGTTTAGATCCAGCTCCACGTCAACACACCTATGTGTAGGTATCAAACAAGCCTAAAGCACTCAATTAGTTTGATCAGGTGTTTAATTAGGGTTGAAATGAAACTGCAGAGCTGCGGCCCTCCAGGAATTGACTTTGACACCCCTGCCCTACCCCAACCGTCACAGTAATGTAAAACAGATCTGAATCTGGAGTCTTTTCTATTAGTATAGCTGATTAACCATGTGGATGGATGATAACAGTAGGTGCAGAAGGCCTCTATTGGCCCATATTTATCGGCTAAAACAGGAGGGTGGCGGGAGACGAGTTTGAAATATGGGACACTCCTTGGAAAAA